GTTTTTTTGCACTGCACTTCTATTCAATGAGATTTATCTATCTATAAAGTTTCCTGATGATATCAGAGTTATGTCCCAGGTAAAATTCAAAGTGTAAAAATGAATAAAGGGCAATAACTCCAAAATTAGACCAGGCTTTGTTTCGGTTCTTTAAGCGTTGCAGTTCTATCCAATTATATCTAGCTACCTACAAAGTTTCATGTTGATATCTCTAATAGTTTTAAAGTTATGTCCCGGACAAAAGTCAAAAAGTAAAAATAAACAAAGGGCAATAACTTCAAAATAAGGCAAGGCAGAGTAATGATTCTTAAGCACTGCACTTCCACCCAATGAGACCTATCTATCTACAAAGTTTCATCTTGATATCTCTTATAGTTTTAGAGTTATGTCCCAGACAAAGTTCAAAGTGTTAAAATTAACAAAGGGCAATAACTCCAAAATTATGACAAAAAGATTTATTGTTCATATGCACTGCACATCTACCCATTGAGATCTATTCACCTACAAAGTTTCATGTTGATACCTCTTATAGTTTTAGAGTTATGTCCTGGACAAAGTTCAAAGTGTAAAAATAAACAAAGGGGAATAATTCAAAAATTAGGCAAGGCAGAGTTACGGTTCTTGTGCACTGCACACCTTCTCAATGAGATCTATCTACCTACAAAGTTTCATGTTGATACCTCTTGTTGTTTCAAAGTTATGTACCGGACAAGAAAAGGGGACGGACGGAAAGACGGACGGACGGACGGACAAGGCGGCGACTATATGCTCCCCCGAAATTTTTAGGGGAGCATAATTAAGCTCCCATCTAAAGTGAGTGTGTACATGTATATAAGCTATATACCTTGAGTATGATAAATTGACATGTAAAATATTTAGGTTGTCTGGAGGGCAACAGACAGATCAGAATCCAAATACTGTTCTATCAATAAATGTGCAACTGAGTGGAGAAAAAAGTGGGTAGATGTTAAAAGAAATTTTGATGTAACAATAGAGAAGGATTTACAGAACACAAACACTGGAATATTGTTTTCATATTTTATTGATCAAAAATAAATGGCAATAAAACAAGTAAAAACAAAAACAAAAGTTAAAACTGCAACTTTTACTCAACAGTGTTTGTGCCCTTCCTTCCCTGTTGTTAACATTGATTTATCAACTTGAAAGTAACATTAATATCTGTCCTGTGTAAACATGGATTATCAACATTATAATAACCTTTCTGTTGTAAACATTGATTTATCAACATTTTAACACCTTTCTGCTGTAAACATTGATTTATCAACACTCAAACACTTTCCCTTCTGTAAACATTCATTTAACAACATTAATATACCTTTCCTGTAGTAAACTTTGATTTATCAACTTGAAAGTAACAATGATTTATCAACTTGAAAGTAACATTAATTTTTCATTATAGTATCTGTCCTGTGTAAACATGGATTATCAACATTATAATAACCTATCTGTTGTAAACATTGATTTATCAACATTAAAACACTTTTTTAATTGTAAACATTGATTTATCAACATTAAAACACCTTTCCTGTTCTAAACATTGATTTATCAATGACAGAAAATTTAATTTTACTACAATTAAATTGTCAGCTCCCTTCAAGTAAGTTTATATTAGCCCCATACAATATGTACTATACATGCCACTACATATTGTTTTGTTGTTTTATTGCATATTTGTCTTAAAATTTGCTGCTTTTATTCATGCCTAAGCTACTAGCATGAAATGTATTTTACTTTCAGATTTGTTATATGTTAGTTAAAATGTTTTATGGTCTTCATTATATTTGGTAAATAGCTTATTAGTAAATGTTGTTTTTCTTTTAATAATTCATAAACTGACTTATTCAATACACATTCTTATATCTTGTAAAATACATTTCCATTTGTAAACATTGATTTATCAACATGAAAATATGAAGACAGTCATTAAAACTTGACATTCTTACAGATGTCATTGGCAAGTCTTAATTGCTGATAGCACTAAGGTTTAGAAGTCAAACAAAACAAAACAGAAAACAAATAGAAAAATAAATATTATCTTACCATCAGATCTGAAAAAAACCTGTTTCATTTAATGCTTACTGATCAAAACCAAAAGGGGTCTTTCTATAATAAAAAAAATATTTCTTTTAACAGTCTCTTTTAAACAATAACTAATACAGGGATCTTCCCTATTTTGGTGCATTTAAAAGGAAATTATCCAACTCCACCAAGGGGAAAAAATTCAACTAAAATGTTGTATCAAACTGTTCAACAGTAAAAGAAATACATGTGCAGCTTCAATTTTCATGGTTAAAAGAACTTTAAGCACAAATCTTTTGCATTATTTCATAAAATTATATTTAACTGCAATATTCATGTTACATTGTTACTATTGGCAACACCCTGGTGTTCCATATCTTCACTAACATTACTGTCATTCAGGCTAGATTTTGAGATATTTCCCTCATTACTAATACTAGTATCAGAAACATCACATTCTTGACTTACATCCATCTTAAATTGTTTTGATCGATCTTGTCCACGTTTCTGTTTCCTATGCGCTTTCTTTTCCTCAAGCTCCTTCGCAAAGTGCTCTTTCCTGTCCTTCACCTGTTGCATGTGCGCAGCATACGTAGAATAATTAGCCGGTTTCTGTTGCAACATACAATCTGGAATTTCAATGCCGAGCAGTTCTCCGACCATGTACGGTTTTAGCCAAACAACTAAAGGAGATGCACCAAACGTGTAGTGGGCTTGCTTGTGGTAGAATAGACAACCATCAAACTGTAAAGAGAAACAATTTGTTACTATAAGACAAAGCACTCCACTTCCTTCTCCTGCCATAAATTCCCCAGCCCCCCATTCCTGAAGTGCCAGGTTGAACAGTAAATTTACTTTTTATAGGTCAATGAGAAATCATAGCAAGAAAACATACATTTTTTTAAATATGTTGTATTTGTGATGACTAAAACAAGCATACTGTATAACACAATGATGACAGCTTTATAACACATACTCAAATTGTTTCCACTGAACTGGCTATATAGTGTGATATATCATTGATTTTCGGCTTTCAATATTGATACAAAATTTTCCATCAATGTCTGCCCTTGGAATATGATTGCTCTTGATTGTGACATAACATTGGAATAGTCATTTTGCGCCTGAAAAGTGTAAATGGTGAAAGTAGGCATCATGTGTCCCTAGCACTTTGTGTGCAATTGGAGGTTGAAGTGGAACCTCCAACCTTCAGTTAGGAAATTTCCTATCAGAAGCTTCCAGACCCAGCAAAAGTCTTCCTAATCATTTTTTAAAACATTTTGTCCACAAATTGCATAATTTTTTTATTAACCACTGCACTGTATACATCAATTACCTTTAAAATCCTAAAATATAATCATTCAGATTGCTATGATTTTAATGGTAAAACTACTTGCCTGTGTTGTTGTTGATTTAAATAACTCTTCTAGATTCTCTTTCTTACAGCTATGATACTGAAGTGGTATAAATTTGTACTGAAAAAAAAAATAAACAAAATATCATTCAACATAATCAGGCCCATAAGAACATGTGACTAAATCATTGCAAAATTACAATATGTTTTAACAAAAACACAACAAAAATTCACACAATTATAAGAAGAGCCAACATATATTTTACAATAATAATCATCTTTGGCACAAACATTTTTATTAGAAATGTTTATATATGAAATACTACAGTAATGCAGACCAGTCTTGACCCTTAATTTAAAGTCAATGACAAACTCAACACTTAAGTCAACAATAATGGTCGACGCTAAAGCCAATGACAAACTCTACACCAAAGCCACAATGAAAGCCGGCGCTAAAGCCAATGACAAACTCTACACCAAAGCCACAATGAAAGCCGGCGCCAAAGCCAATGACAAACTCGACACCAAAGCCACAATTAAAGCCGGCGCTAAAGCCAATGACAAACTCGACACCAAAACCACAATGAAAGTCGGCGCAAAAGCCAATGACAAACTCGACACCAATGCCACAATGAAAGTCGGCGCTTAAAAGCCAATGACAAACTCGACACCAAAACCACAATGAAAGTCAGCGCAAAAGCCAATGACAAACTCGACACCAAAACCACAATGAAAGTCGGCGCAAAAGCCAATGACAATCTCGACACCAAAACCACAATGAAAGTCGGCGCAAAAGCCAATGACAAACTCGACACCAAAGCCACAATTAAAGCCGGCGCTAAAGCCAATGACAAACTCGACACCAAAGCCACAATGAAAGTCAGCGCTAAAGTCAATGGCAAACTCGACACCAAAGCCACAATGAAAGCCGGCGCTAAAGCCAATGACAAACTTGACACCAAAGCCACAATGAAAGCCGGCGCTAAAGCCAATGACAAACTCGACACCAAAGCCACAATGAAAGTCGGCGCTAAAGCCAATGACAAACTCGACACCAAAGCCACAATGAAAGCCGGCGCTAAAGCCAATGACAAACTCGACACCAAAGCCACAATGAAAGTCGGTGCTAAAGCCAATGACAAACTTGACACCAAAGCCACAATGAAAGCCGGCGCTAAAGCCAATGACAAACTCGACACCAAAGCCACAATGAAAGTCGGCGCTAAAGCCAATGACAAATTTGACACCAAAGCCACAATGAAAGTGGGCACTAAAGCCAATGACAAACTGGATACCAATGCCAACGCTAAAAGCCGGCACTAAAGCTGATAACAAACTTGACATCTAAGCCAACAATAAAACTTGATACAGAAGCTAAAGCCAATGACGAACTCAACACCAAAGCCAACGACAAAAGTTGACGCTAAAGTCAATGACAAAGTCGGCACCTAAGCAAACAATAATAGTCAACACCAAAGCCAATGACAAACTCAATACCAAAGCCGATGATAAAAGCCAACCCTAAAGCTGATGACAAACTCGACACATAGGCCAACAATAAAAGTTGACGCTAAAGTCAATGACAAACTCGACACCTAAGCCAATGATAAAAGCAGGCCGTAGAGCCAATGACAAAGTTGACACAGAAGCCAACGATAAAAAACAGCCCTAAAGCCAATGACAAACTCGACACCTAAGCCAATGAAAAAACAAATAAGAGTGTCCTGACAAGACCTCTGTATTTTTTGTTGAGAGTACTTACTGGATTCAATTTGCTGACTTCCCCTACCTCTGGAATCTCCTGCATTTTGCTCATCATCCAGAAAAAACGAAAGTCAGTCTGAAATTATACATAACTTTTTTGTCATACTTGACATTTTACTAGTATAAAAAAAATTAATTCCTTGATTTTAAATAAAACATGTGTACTTCAAATGACTTATAGAGTAAAACTATTGCATACAGAAGTTAAATTGCATTACTTGCACTACTTCTTCACAGCTTCTGAATAATTCCAGTTTTTTTGTTGTTTTTTGAAGTTTTTTTTTTCTAAACAAAAAGAAACATTACTGAATACTAAATATCATCATATAAGTTAGACCATGAAACAAGTTAATACAACATATACAAGTATATCGTATATCCAATAAATTTAATGTTCTGGAACTAACCATTACTGGTATCAATAAAGGTAACAATTGGCCCTGGCCAATGTAGGGTATTTAATTATGATATCTAGAAAATAGTTTCACCATTGTACTTATCCTGTTTCTTGCCTAACTGACATAACTACGAGCTGTCATCGATAGAAACAACATTGATATATCCTTGATATTTTTTCTGTTGATCAATAATCAATGCACATTTGAAAAAAATGATAGTCTATATAAGCTAATTAAATGTCTAGAAAAAGAAATTATGAAATTCATCCAAAACAAACATGTATATTGAAACAGGTGTCCATGTCTAGAACTATCTTGTTGTTATGTAATGGACATATTTCATAGCAGTGTTGACAAAAAGGTCATGGCCGAGTGGTTAACTTGTCGGACTAGTAATCTAATGATCACTAGCCGAATGTGTTCAAACCCCGTCAGGAGCAAGTCCTTGTTTCCTTGAGCAAGAAACTTTACACTCATTGCTCAGTACTGGTTGGTTCTAGGAACGGATTCGAAAGTGTATCTATAAGCTAATAGCTTCCTACACAATCAAACTAAAATAAATTTTGTATAAACCAAAAAGGTCAGTAAAAAGTCATGCAATGGACACATCTTAAATTGTATCAACAGTATATGTATTTTACTAAAATCAATTAAACAGGTATGAAAGTGAATTATTGACAAGTAATGATCGTTATATTGGTTATCACATATCAATAATTTGTCAATATCCTTTGACAGCTCTACAAATCACTGTGTTAAAATTATACTTACCTCACTATCATAAACAGGGTGGTCCTTCCAATTCATGATGTCCAGCACATAGAATGTTTTCTCTATTTCATGATATATGCAATCCAATATGGCATTTTCTGAAAAGTTATCACATTACATGTTAATCATTCATTTGGTGCCATATTTTTAAGAAGACAGCTAAAATTACTAATGGAGTTACCTGGATAGAACTATAATCTTTTAATAGTTAAAGATATACTTTGCTCATCTTTTGGTAAAATAGTTTTATTGCAGAAATCTAGTAAATTCCAAATGAATATGTCTCATTTGAATAAGTAAATATGCTACAAACTTTTCAGGCCACTGCATTCCCTACTACAGGTTAAGTTAATTTTGTCATTCCTTAAAACAAGAGGGCCATGATGGCCCTGAAGTCGCTCACCTACATAAAGGCCCCCGGAGCGGGGCCAGTTTAAACCCCAGGGCTTTTATTTGAACAAACTTGAAAGACACTCATTAGAAGATGTTTCACGATGTTAAGTTTGTTAAGTTTTTACTACACACATAATGAAAAACAATGATCTCCCCCCCCCCCCCCATTCCAGCAGGGCCAATTTTTACCTGAGGGCTTTTACTTGAACAAACTTGGTAGACACCCATAAGAAAATGTTTCATGCTAAACATCTAAGCTCTAGCTCATTGGGTTTTTTCAAAGAAGTTATTTTAAGTTTATACTATACACATATAGTTAAAAACAATGATACCCCTGGGGCGGGCCAGAAGGGCTTTTATTTGAATAAACTTTGTAGACACTTACTAGAAGATGTTTCATGCTGAATATCTAAACTCTAGCTATTTGGGTTTTTTCAAAGAAGATTTTTAAGTTTTTGCTATACAATTATAAGGAAAATCAATGACCCCGGGGCAGTGCCAATTTTGACCCCAGGGCTTTTATTTGAACAAACTTGGTAGACACCTATTAGAACATGTTTGATGCTAAATATCTTAGCCATAGCTCTTTGAGTTCTTTAAAAGAAGATTTTTTAAGTTTTTACTATATGCATATAGGGAAAATCAATGACCCCCAGGGGCGGGGCCAATTTTGACCCCAGTGCTTTTATTTGAACAAACTTGGTAGACACCCATTAGAACATGTTTCATGCTAAATATCTTAGCTGTAGCTCTTTTGATTCTTTAAAAGAAGATTTTTTAAGTTTTTACTTTATGTATATAGGGAAAATCAATGACCCCCCCCCGGGGCGGGGCCAATTTTGAGCCCAGGGCTTTTATTTGAACAAACTTGGTAGACATTCACTAGAAGATGTTTCAAGCCACATATCTAAGCTCTAGCTCTTATGGTTTTTTAAAAGAAGATTTTTTAAGTTTTTACTATATGTATATAGGGAAAATCAATGACCCCCGAGGCGGGGCCAATTTTGACCCCAGGGCGTTTATTTGAACAAACTTGGTAGACACTTATTAGAACATGTTTCATGCTAAATATCTTAGCTTTAACTCTTTTGGTTCTTTAAAAGAAGATCTTTTAAGTTTTTACTATATGCATATAGGGAAAATCAATGACCTCCCTGGGGCGGGGCCAATTTTGACCCCAGGGCTTTTATTTGAACAAACTTGGTAGACACCTATTAGAACATGTTTCATGCTAAATATTGTAGCCATAGCTCTTTGAGTTCTTTAAAAGAAGATTTTTTAAGTTTTTACTATATGCATATAGGGAAAATCAATGACCCCCCAGGGCGGGGCCAATTTTGACCCCAGGGCTTTTATTTGAACAAACTTGGTAGACACCCATTAGAACATGTTTCATGCTAAATATCTTAGCTGTAGCTCTTTTGGTTCTTTAAAAGAAGATTTTTTAAGTTTTTACTTTATGTATATAGGGAAAATCAATGACCCCCCAGGGCGGGGCCAATTTTGACCCCAGGGCTTTTATTTGAACAAACTTGGTAGACACTCACTAGAAGATGTTTCATGCCAAATATCTAAGCTCTAGCTCTTATGGTTTTTTAAAAGAAGATTTTTTAAGTTTTTACTATATGTATATAGGGAAAATCAATGACCCCCCGGGGCGGGGCCAATTTTGACCCCAGGGCTTTTATTTGAACAAACTTGGTAGACACTTATTAGAACATGTTTCATGCTAAATATCTTAGCTTTAGCTCTTTTGGTTCTTTAAAAGAAGATTTTTTAAGTTTTTACTATATGCATATAGGGAAAATCAATGACCTCCCTGGGGCGGGGCCAATTTTGACCCCGGGGCTTTTATTTGAACAAACTTGGTAGACACCTATTAGAACATGTTTGATGCTAAATATCTTAGCCATAGCTCTTTGGGTTCTTTAAAAGAAGATTTTTTAAGTTTTTACTATATGCATATAGGGAAAATCAATTACCCCCTCGGGGCGGGGCCAATTTTGACCCCAGGGCTTTTATTTGAACAAACTTGGTAGACACCCATTAGAACATGTTTCATGCTAAATATCTAAGCTGTAGCTCTTTTGGTTCTTTAAAAGAAGATTTTTTAAGTTTTTACTATATGTATATAGGGAAAATCAATGACCCCCCGGGGCGGGCCAATTTTGACCCCAGGGCTTTTATTTGAACAAACTTGGTAGACACTCACTAGAAGATGTTTCATGCCAAATATCTAAGCTCTAGCTCTTATGGTTTTTTAAAAGAAGATATTTAAAGTTTTTTCTTTCGGTTGCTATGGCAACCAGAGTTCTGCATGGAATTAAATTCTTTGAACAATTTTTAAAGGTGACCACCCAAGGAACATTCCTGTGAAGTTTGGATGAAATTGGCTTAGTGGTTTATGAGGAGATGTCATTTAAAGTAAAAGTTTACGGACGGACGGACGCCGGACGGACGCCGGACGAAAAGCGATCACAAAAGCTCACCCTGTCACTTTGTGACAGGTGAGCTAATAAAAAGAGCTGTCAAATTAGTAGTGTTCTCTAATCTTTTCTTGTAGGAAAGGGGCATTATTATGCACAAAAACCCATGACATGATCTTCCATGTCAAACCTTTACTAATTATCATAATTTGAATCATTTGATGTCAAAATCATAAGCATGAGCATGTTTCGTGTTTTAAAATCTTCTTTATAATAGCCTGATTACATGTCAAGATCGATTAATAATTAAAGATTTTGACTTATCAAAATCTTGACTTATCAATCGATCTTGACTTTAACATAATAAATCTTGAAATAATCATAACCTATTTTGACTTACTCATAACATATGTTATCTTATTTATAATCTATTTAGATATATTCATAGTTTATCTTGACTTATTCATAGCTTACCTTGACTTATACATGGTTTACCTTGTCTTATTCATAGTTTATCTCGACTTATTCATAGTATATCTTTACTTATTCATAGTTTTTCTTGACTTATTCATAGTGTATCTTGACTTATTCATAGTTTACCTTGACTTATTCATAGTTAATTCATAGTTTTATAAAAACACAACAGTGTTTAATCCAATTAACATTTGAGTATTATCAAAAAGTTTTGAGACGACACCTACTGTATTTTCCATGATAATTCTTATATTAAAAATAATATAAAATAAATGTTTAGCAATTTCAAATTATAAGATTGTGTACAAGAAGATAAAGTAAACAGTGAAAATTGAGAATGTATACACAAATTTCAAAATATTACAAAAAGATGAAAAATTACATTTTTGTATATATATTACATGAAAAACAGAGTCAAAACATTTTGTAAAGTTAAACCATGTATATTTATTTTGACATGCATTTATAATCTCATGACCTTGTAGTTGCTTATCTTAACAAGTGCTATTTATAAGTCCAATATCAATAACATAAAAAAGAAATAGATACCACTTTAAACCATATTTTCTACACGCATTTGAAACAAGAACAATAAATTGTCAATGAACGGATTTAAACTTTCTCATTTGAACAATTTTAAACACAACTAAATAGACAGTACTGTATAATAAATTCATGCTTTAATTTTTTTTTAAAAATCATGGCTCAATCCAGGATAGACTTCAGTGCTTCACTAACACAGGACTCTGATGAAGTTCAGGAAATGTTTTGTGAACATTGTGATAAACATGACAAGCAATATGTTCCTGCAGAGGGATTTTGTGAAGACTGTGTTGAGTACCTGTGTGGAATTTGCCTTAAATTTCATAAACGATATATGCCTACTCATACCACAAAGGATAAGGATAACATGCCACAGGATTTCTGTCTAGAGAAATGTTCCATTCATCAAGATGAATTGGTCAAGTTCTATTGCCAAGCTTGTAAGAAATTTGCCTGTACTGAATGCAAGATTCAAGACCATGGGAACTGTAGTATGATCAGCCATTTGCCGGCTCTTGTTCCCGGGATTGAAAACAGCCAAGAAATAAAAGAACTTAATGAAAGTCTTGATGAGTTAATAAAAGATTTAGAAAATACAGAAGAGCAAGTGAACATAAACAAGAAGGAGATTGCTTCACAAGAAACAAAGATATTAGATAAAGTTATGAAAAAGAAAAAAGAAATACTGTCAGCATTTGAAAAACATCAGAAAGAAATAATTCAAGACTTTGAGAAGAAAATAGAAGAAACCTTAAAAAGACTTAAACAAGAGAAAAAAGAGAAGATTGAAAAATTACGAGAAAATCAAAGGAAACTAGAAAAGTTATTAAATGATGAGGAGAATGAAATAAAGAAGAAAATTGAAACCATAAAAAAGAATGACGAGAAAATTTTGAAGACGATTACCGAAGAAACCTCCAAAATGAAAACAAAACTAAACACCATATCAACAGAGTTGGTGCATCATCAAGGTACAGATCAAAGATGTCAACTGTTTATTGCTATGAAGAAGGGGCAGGAAATCACTGATCAATTGAAACCAGATGCAAATAAACAATGTAAAAACAATTCTATTCATTTTTACAAAGTTGAATGCACAGCTTCTGAACAGAATATAACAGATATACAACACTGTGATAAATTTTTCACTTTCCAAGAAATACACAAGTCTGAAGTACCAAGAACTGCTAGTTATTACACAGATATTAAAGTCAAACATAGCTTTGATTCATCTTTATGCTTATTATCAGAAAACTGTCTTCTGATTTGTCATTATGACTCTCCAAAGCTAGTTATTTTCAAGGATTTGTCAGTCAGCACTACATCATATGATACAATAGACCTGCCTTCCAACCCTTGGGCTGCTGCTAAAGTTGACAATAACAAAGTTGCTGTTACATTTCCAAGACTTGAAATAATAAAGCTGATAACATTCTCCAAGTCTTTGACAGTGACCAACACTGAAGACATAAAAGTAGGAAGAGGTTGTTGTGGTGTTGCCTATAGTAACAACAAACTTATAGTATCTTACACAACCAGTCCAGCAACAGTGAAGATACTTGACATGTCTGGCAAAGTATTGAAAATATTTGATAAAGATCAGCATGGGAAAAATCTGTTTGCTGATCCTTATTTTTTAACAATCAGTGCAGACAACACTGTTATATATGTATCTGACTATAAAAAAAGCTGTGTGATAGGTTTAACCTTTGATGGGAAAGTCAAGGCCATTTACAATGATGACCAGCTGAATGAACCATATCAACTGACTGTTGATAGGTCTGGGGCAGTGTTTGTATGTGGACTTTGGTCAAACAATATACATCAATTATCCCCTGACCTGACTAAGGTGAAGATTCTACTGGATAAAGAACAAGAAATATGTAGACCAACAGGTGTGGCATACTGCCAGAATACAAACAGATTGTATGTGAGTCAAATTGCTAATAACATTAAAGTGTTTGATATAACAATGGAATACATATAAACTATTCCTATAATTTCATATCACATATAAACTATTCCTATAATTTCATATCTGAAATACACAACAAACAACAGACTAAAGAGAAAAACAAACCAAATTAGACTGCATGTTTTAGTTATTTTGCTTACTTTTCTTTTCTTATTTTGCAACAACCCATACATTTTTAATTTGTGAAGTGAATATTAGTATGGTGCTCTACTAGAAGAACTGACAACTAAATATGACAACTTTGAAATTGATCATTTTTTATATTTATTATTTTTGCTATACATCTCATGTTTAATGAAGTTTGAAACTGTGTTTAAAAGAAACAAATAATTAGAGTTTTATTTACATCTCATATATTCTTAGCTTTAAGTTATTTTTATTCTTACTTTAAAATAGAAATTTATAATATCCAGCTCTGTATATGGGGAAGTAAACCTTACAAGACACTTCTGTTAGGAGTATAAAGACCAGAGAAGTCATGTTAAACAATATCATTCTGCATGAAAATGAAGAATTCAAGAATAATATACAATATAGAACAGATTGATTCTGTACAATTCTAAGGCTGGTTTCTTTGAGATACTTAAAAAGTGCAAAATATGTCCATTTTCATGTTAACCCTTTACCTCATATATATGCGAAACAACGCACTTTACCCCAACCTCTTTTAGGCCTCAAATAGTGAAAAAATGTCCTGTTTGGGCCCCAAACATGTTTTCATTTGAGAAATGTTGATAAAAAAGTGAGCACTTTTTCGGCACTACCCCCATCTTAAAGGTTCATCAGAAGGTTGCCAGAAAGGGGGTGTGCCCTCTTCTGTTTGGGGGGTTTAAAAGGGGCCGCAGCCCCCTCATTGCTGTACCCCCTTCTGTTCAGGTGGTTTGAAGGGGGGGACAGTCCCCCTCATCACCAAGAATATTTTGAACTTGTGAGAGGCTCAAAATGACCCCAGGTCAATCATAAGGTTACATGGAACCAATGCTGAAAAGCCTTTGACTTTATCTGAATCCTTTGAGAAGTTGCAGCACTTTGAAATGAATTTTGACAGAAAAATCAACGCAAAATAGTGATTTTTTGGCAATTTTGAGATGTCCCCTCGTTGTCATGGTATCAGGAAATTTAAGACTGAGCATGTTGTTACAAATGCAATGGTCCAGTCAACATTTTTGTCAAGTTTGATTAGTATTGAAGAAGTTTTTATAGTTTTATACCAATATGAACTTGTAGCGCGATACTTTTCAATGAAAACAACCATTTTTCACAAAATGCTCATGCAGTAATGGGTTAAGGTAAACCATTACCTCCACTTTTAATAGTATTCAAATAGGCTAGAGTCACTTGTCAACTACATTGAAAATGAGAGTTGTAGGTTCAAACCCTAGAAGGGGCAACTTTTTTTCTTTTCTGTTTTTTTCTTTTTAACATTATTTATGTATCTCTCAGGAAGAAAAAAGTGTTTGATTTTAATTGTATAATTATTGAAGGTATAATTTGCCAAATAATGCCAAATTTGATACCAGATATTGTCTCATTATTATTAGCATTTTTGCAAAGTACTTTTAATTTCTCTCAGATCAGTTCAAAAGATACAGAACAGACATAAATTTTTATTTTACATTTAAAAAGAAACTGTATAGCAATTATCAGTATTTTCAAAATATCAAATTTAAGCAAAATACAACTTTAAAATCAATTTAGAAATTATAAAATACTGAATTTGTGTGACCTACAGTAAAGAGAATGTTCAGACAACACAGAAGTGCAAAATGGCAGGCTATTAAATTTGTAGCATAAAAAGTGATTTTCTCTTTTGTTTTTACTGGGTTTTAAGTCACTTTCACAGAAGAAAGGTCATATGGCCACTTTCTGTTTTACTGTTTGTTTGTTTGTTTCATTTTACGCCTTTTTCCAACAGTATTTCAGTCATATAGCCTGGTAGTTTCCTAACCATCGTTCCTGGAGAGTTATACCAGTACCAGACTACCTTCCTACGTGCTAAACTACCAAAGCATCTCCCGGGGATCGAACCCACGCCAGAGAGGTAACTGGATTAGAAGTCAGAGACTCTAACCCCTCGACAACGGAGGCGGTCTCTGCTTTACTGTACCTTTATATAAAGCACTGAATAATATGACCCCTCAATTAATCTAATCAATACTTACTTATCAAATCTAATAATCAAAAGTATGATCTAAGATCAAAATCTCACGGAAATTTAATTTTGTATTACAAACCACATACTTATTATTTCTATGACACATTCCAATTTAATTCAATGCCATGGTTATTTGGAATTCAATACCCCTGACTTTTAGAAGGAAAACAGAATTGTCAATATTTAAAAATAGGTTCAAGAAATATTTATTACTAGTAAATCAACTTTAGTATGGTCCATGTGTATCATATATACAAGATATGATAATTATATTCATACATTTATTTTAATTATTATCTTTATTTCTAAGTATACAATGTTTTCTAATCATGAGTGACTGTCTTCATTTTGACATTGTTAGTTTTGACTGTGTTAATTGCAGATTGAAATGATGCAATGAAGAAGTAATTAAGTTTAATGAAAGTTAAATGAATTGTATGAATGTTCAGTATGTGTGTTAAGATATATATTAAAACTCTGATTACCATTTAATCATTTCTTTTACATGTTATATATGCTTCAGTTGATATGATTATATTTAGAAGGTTGCATTGTAAATAAGGTGTTACAAATCTGTATATGTCTTAATGTGTTACCTTCTGTAAATAAAATTGTTATTATCATTATTTTTATTATCATTATTGTTACTAAAAGACCTCTAGTACCCTTTTCCTTTCTTTAAGAGTTGAACCAACATCCACCTAGCTGTTTAGCTGTCCTTCATGAAAGAATCTAAAATACTTGGTATGAGAAATAACTTGAAGGAATAATGTTAAGAAAAGGATAAAAATGTTAATGCAATTCTGTGTTAATTGTATCTTTTGAGTACAATCAAGGCAATGGTAGCTTTCTAAAATGATCATTTTCTTATTGTATCCGGGGGCGTCAGTGGCCAAGTGGTTTAGGTTTTTGACTTCAAACCACTTGCCCCTCACCGCTGTAGGTTAGAATCCTGACAGTGACTTTGGATCCTTTCATGTGAAGAAGCTTTCCAGCTAGCTTGCGGAATGTCGGTGGTTCTACTCAGGTGCCTGAAATAATGCATGGAAGGGTATCTAAGGTTTTCCTCCATCAGTAAAGCATGAACCTCCCCAAATGACCTATACTGTTGGCGAGATGTAAAACCAAATCAAACACACTTACTGTATTCTAAGAAAAAAAATTCTACAAATAAACATAAGTACCCTTATATCTTCCCTTCTGATGTCTGTTACCTCCAGGAAGTTGTGAAGGAAATGAGTTGACTCTGTATCCATTCCTACCATATGCTGTTGTAGCACCCTAGAACAGAATATATAATACTTAAATAACGGATTTATTTTAGGTTTTTCAGTAGTTTTGAACAATATTTCTGTAGTGTGAGTCATTCTATTTTGTTGTTAAACATTAGTAGTGTTTCTAGATTTTACATCTATACAAACCTGTTTCCGATATGTAACAGTCAAGTTCTTAACCCTTTACCACATATATACGCGAAACAAGGCACTTTCGACCCCCCCCCCCCTTTTTTAGGCCTCAAATAGTGAAAAAAATGTCCTAATTGGGCCCCCAACATAAGTTTTCGTTTGAGAAATGTTGCTAAAAAATTGAGCACTTTTTCGGCGCCGCCCCTCATCTAAAAGATACATCAGGGGGTTGCCAGAAGGGGGATGTGCCCCCTTCTGTTAGGGGGGTTTGAAGGGGGATGGAGTCCCCCTCATCGCCAAGAAAATTTTGGACTTGTGAGAGGCTAAAAATGACCCCAGGTCGATCAAAATGTAACGTTTAACAAACGCTGAAAAGCCTTTGACTCTATCTCAATCCCTTGAGCAGTTACAGCACTTTGAAATAAATTTTGATGGAAAAAATCGAGGCAAAATAGTGATTTTTGGCAATTTTGAGATGTCCCCTCGTTGCCATGGTAACAGGAAATTTAAGACTGAGCATGTCGTTACAAAGGCAATGGTCCAGTCAACATTTGTGCCAAGTTTGATTAGTATTGAAGCATTTTTCATAGTTTCACAGCAGTTTGAACTTGTAACAGGAGGCTTTTCAGTGAAAACGGCCATTTTTCACAATATGCTCATGGGGGAAAGGGTTAACTAAAAAAATTATAAATCTTACAAAACAACAATTTTTCACCAAAATTAGGTGAAAGACCACATGTGAACATGGAAAAACTAGTTTTTAGGTGATTCCAAAGTTTTTCATCATTTTTTGTTAACCCTTTACCACATATATACGCAAAACAACGCACTTTCGACCCCCCCCCCCTTTTTTAGGCCTCAAATAGTGAAAAAAATGTCCTAATTGGGCCCCCAACATAAGTTTTCGTTTGAGAAATGTTGCTAAAAAATTGAGCACTTTTTCGGCGCCCCCCTCATCCAAAAGATACATCAGGGGGTTGTCAGAAGGGGGATGTGCCCCCTTCTGTTAGGGGGGTTTGAAAGGGGGTGGAGTCCCCCTCATCGCCAAGAAAATTTTGGGCTTGTGAGAGGCTAAAAATGACCCCAGGTCGATCATAATGTAACGTTTAACAAACGCTGAAAAGCCTTTGACTCTATCTCAATCCCTTGAGCAGTTACAGCACTTTGAAATAAATTTTGATGGAAAAAATCGAGGCAAAATAGTGATTTTTGGCAATTTTGAGATGTCCCCTCGTTGCCATGGTAACAGGAAATTTAAGACTGAGCATGTCGTTACAAAGGCAATGGTCCAGTCAACATTTGTGCCAAGTTTGATTAGTATTGAAGCATTTTTCATAGTTTCACAGCAGTTTGAACTTGTAACAGGAGGCTTTTCAGTGAAAACGGCCATTTTTCACGATATGCTCATGGGGGAAAGGGTTACCTTTACCTAGAAAAATTATAAATCTTACAAAACAACAATTTTTCACCAAAATTAGGTGAAAGACCACATGTGAACATGGAAAAACTAGTTTTTAGGTGATTCCAAAGTTTTTCATCATTTTTTGTTAACCCTTTACCACATATATACGCAAAACAACGCACTTTCGACCCCCCCCCCCTTTTTTAGGCCTCAAATAGTGAAAAAAATGTCCTAATCGGGCCCCCAACATAAGTATTCGTTTGAGAAATGTTGCTAAAAAATTGAGCACTTTTTCGGCGCCGCCCCTCATCCAAAAGATACATCAGGGGGTTGCCAGAAGGGGGATGTGCCCCCTTCTGTTAGGGGGGTTTGAAGGGGGGTGGAGTCCCCCTCATCGCCAAGAAAATTTTGGACTTGTGAGAGGCTAAAAATGACCCCAGGTCGATCATAATGTAACATTTAACAAACGCTGAAAAGCCTTTGACTCTATCTCAATCCCTTGAGCAGTTACAGCACTTTGAAATAAATTTTGATGGAAAAAATCGAGGCAAAATAGTGATTTTTGGCAATTTTGAGATGTCCCCTCGTTGCCATGGTAACAGGAAATTTAAGACTGAGCATGTCGTTACAAAGGCAATGGTCCAGTCAACATTTGTGCCAAGTTTGATTAGTATTGAAGCATTTTTCATAGTTTCACAGCAGTTTGAACTTGTAACAGGAGGCTTTTCAGTGAAAACGGCCATTTTTCACAATATGCTCATGGGGGAAAGGGTTAACATGGATCTTATCATTCCTTGTTGCCTTCTTTTTTTGCCAAACATTTAACAGTATTTTTAAAATATTTCAGTTCTTGATAATGGTAAAGTTAGCCTTATCAGTTTTCTTTGTATACTCTTGTAACTCTTGAACTCCATTGCAATACATGTACATTTATAAGTTTAACGGATTTTAGCATCAAAATTATAAAGCTGAGCAACCAACATTTCAGAGTGTGCCTCAATGAAAAAAACAATTAAACAAAATGCACAATGCAGACTGACCTGGATCAACACTAGTAGCACAGGCTGTGAGTGTTAGTACCTATGCAATAACTTTAAAGGGACTCCACTAGAGGTATTTTGGCATGGCAGGACTTAAAATATTTTTCTGATATTTGTGTACCGTTTGATGTAGGTCTCAGCTATTTCCTCACCACGTTTTTATCTATTGCCCAAAATGTCCCAAAAATCAGATTAGAATTGCACAAAAATCCATATATTTCTTTTTTATTATATTTTGTTATTATCCTTTGCAGATTTCTCCATTATAATTATATGCTTTGCAAGATTCTCAAATTTTATGTTTTTAGGTTTTTTGACCTCAGTGGAGTTCCTTTAACAGCCAACAGAGTGATTCTTTTAGTTCTACAGCACCCTCATATAAAGCATGGTAAAAATTATATTAAATGTAATATTTTACCCTGGCTGAAACAACAAGACATCTTTTGCCCCATGGGCACATCACCATCAACCAGTCTTCCTCAAAATCATCCGGTTCTTCAACCATCCATTCTGATAACATCAACTGATGATAAGAAAAAAAAACATTCAATTTTACTGACATTGAGTTTAAAATACAAAGAAATAAAAGCTACTGCCAGTATATGCCCTGAAATGTTTGACTATATAATAAATGATTGATTGATTGGGTTTTATGTCACACCAACACAGTATAATTATGTCATATGGCGACTTTCCACCTTACTGGTGGAGGAAGAACCACAGGCTTTCCATAAGCTAGCTGGATAGCTTCCTCATATGAAAACTCCAGAGTCTCTGTTAGGATTCAAACCTACAGCTGTGAGTGGCAAGTGGCTTGTTAACAACAACCTTTGCCAAGGACGTCCCAACTATCTTGTATCTAATAGATATCACACAACATAAACCCCAGTTTACCTATGCAGAGTATTTAAATTTGTTATTCTTAGTTTTGACTTAGTGCCAAATTGTTAGGAAATGTTTTATATCAATGCAAAGGCTGTATGATTATACACATGAATAAAACTTAAATGTTATGTATAAAGAAGTTTTTCATCATTTTTTTGTTTTCAATTATTTCCCAATATACAGCATATTTTTCCCCATTTTAAGCCAGGGGCCTTACCCAAATATAGCTGGAAAAGCTATCTCACTACATAATTTTCATAAATATTTCTGTTGATTTCTATTGCTTTTTTTAACTGGTACAACAAGAACTGTTGCTAAGACAGTAATGCACAACTATTCCCAGTGCATGACAGAAAATTGTAGAATTTTCTCAGTTCAAAAGTGCCATTATTCTGTCAGAATCCATGTTAGAGATATGGGCCTTTGACAGTGACCTATTATGCTCTTCAGTAAGCATATAAGTTCAACCCAATCCCTTATGCAGTTTTAAAGATACCAACTTGCATGCAAAAAATAACCCAAAGTATGACCCAAACCAAACTGCGAGTACAATTACTCTTCCCATTCTTTCAACTGTTGAGTATGATCTAAACTTTAATCATGTTTACAAATATTTTTTCAGCTTGTTCCTTTTGTTTTTTTTCGAATTTCATCCAAACACAGAAAGATCAACAAAGGTAAGAGAGACAATTTTTTTTTCAAATCTTGTTTTTTTAGTTTTTTGTTGGTTTTTTTTCCCAATTTTATTCAGACATAAAAAGGTAGACAAAGGTAAGAGAGACAAAGATACCTGATTACGATAGTATCGTCCTGGTTTATACGCTTTTTTGACTGGTGCTTGTGATTCATCCATAGCCACTTGTCCATCATCATCATCAAGATCATCAGCACTGTCCCAAACATCATCAACCAATCGTCGCGCATGATTTGCGTAGTCAAATCTCCGACTGTAACAATTGTTTTATTATATAGAATATTGCACTACAAAGTTTGTTATGAGACACCTTTTAAACAATAAATGATACTGTTTGTAACATTGGCACAGATATGCCCCTATTTTTTAATCTACACCAGCCTGATTTAAGTCCCAAAGTGTGTGATGCCAGAACACCACGATAATTGTTTTAACAACAAAGAAACTTTTGGTTTATATTGAATTTATTTTAGTTTGATTGTGTAGAAAGCTATATGCTAATAGACACTCCTTCAAATCCATTCCTGGAACCAACCAGTACTGAGCAATGAGTGTAAAAGTTCTTGCTCAAGGAAACAACCAGTTGCCTCTGACAGGGTTTGAACCCATGCAGCTAGTGATCATTAGATTACTAGTCAAACGTGTTAACAACTCGGGCATGCCGCCACTTTATGAACTGACTTGTGCAATTAATAAAACTGAACACTTTAAATATACATGTATTTTTACTTTCTCTGCTGTTCAAGAATTTCTTTTCTTCTGGCATCTTGATCTGCATTACTCGTTTTCTTTTTATACTCGGAAAACCTGGGATGTGGTGCAGCTGTACTGTTAGGATCTGTACTCACAGAGAAACTAGTGGCAAGAGCTTCTGTTAGCTCATCCATTTCTAAAACAATCTGTTACTGGTTCCTGAGAATAAATCAACAAGAAAATTTCAAATCCAAAGTCTCAGACCATAGTCAATTTTTGGCACAAGTTTCATCGAGTGAAAAAATACGAGTTATATCCCTTATCTTTAAGTAAAATCTAAGTAAAATGTAATGCTAAAACAATACAAATTTAGCCATTTTTAAACGGCTAGTTTGGGGCGATTTAATGTCTGATTTTAAAATTTATTACACATTCAGTGTTCAATCTAGAGCGCGCCATTGCGCCATTGACCCCCTGAAAAGACCGCCGGCGCAAAACAAATTCAACTGTGGGCCCGATGGGCGCACTCATAGAAAATGCCCTAAATGACATTAGAATGCTTTATAAACCTGATTAAGTACATAAAAAACAGAGATCGGGAAAGAATTTTTGCAGATGAGACTATGTCTCCACCTGTTGGAAAACTTATGAGACATTTTTAAAAGTTATGAGACATTTTTCAAAACTAATGAGACATGTTTTTCATAATGATTATAAAGTACCGATAAAGGTCTAAAATGTGTATTTTGACTTTTCCAATCCATGACAAGTAAAATGTAGCTGCACATGTAAAAGACCCTGTATAAAACAAAGTTTTAAAAATTTATTTGGAAAAAAAAAACCATTGAATTTTAATTAAAATATGTATTCTGGACACATTCAATATTGTATCTGTTTCTCATGCAACATAGTATCACCCTGGAAAAAATAGCTACAATGTACTTGTTTGCCACTTCTTACTGGCCAATTTCAATTGGGTAAGTAGGTAGGTAGGAAATTTCATCAACAATTACAGACTTACCACTTGAATCAAAATAATTTGGTCCTATTTGAATGAACATTATGGTTTAATATACATAATAACATTATATGTGTTGTTGTTATTTTTTGGTGTATTTTTTGGTGTCAAGCAGTTTGTTTATTTGCTGAAGATAAATTAGGTAAAAAGAATCATCATTAAAATGAATCCAATATTTTATAAGTACCTTTCCATAACATATCAAGTAATATATGACGTAATGTGTAATTTGCACTGAATGGCTCCTACGTAGCATTCATTGTTGTCTTTTTTTTTATCAAAGGGACTCACAGCATACAGAAGTCATGCATTTCAGATATCTGATTGGCTAGTGACCTGTCAATTATTGTAGTGATGTAATAAACATCACTTCAGCTCATGTTTCACTTTGTTATTGTTAAGTTTTCAAAGGCAGGTTATCATGACCTAGATTTACCGCAGATTATTCTGTCAGTGCAACTATAAATAGTTACACATTTTTTTTTCTGTGGATAAAGTTTGAAGTTACCAAACATGATTTTAAACACAAAAAGGTTTGGATTATTTTTGTTGAGGAAGGAAGATACTAAAAAAATTAATGAACTTTTTAATCTAATATTTTTTTGGACCGACGGGTTTTGAATGTGTCTGACAGAAACGGCAAACAATGGAAGAATGGAAGCTAATGCTTTAATAACAACTAATGCATGGAAAATCTTAACTTTTGAAAATTATTTTAGACATTTAAAAACTGAATGCCTTGCTTTCGACAGAATATTAATGATATTTCAAACAGAAAAGCATAAAAAATTGACGGTGCTAACTCATAGCTATTGACTTGTACCACGTAGTGTTGGCAGATAACTGGCTTAAACTGGTTTAATGCAGATAATTAGTCCTGCCTACTGTACCTGTAGGCGGAGCAAAGAAATTTGTCACTTTGAAATTTATTTGATGCCGCTAATTGATTGACAAACAGTAAGACTTTCATGCTTTAGCTGAATTTCTTGCAGGTCAAATTTGCATGTCTCCTCATTGTTTATTTATGCAACCTAATGTCGTATCTGCAGGCTAATCAATGCGACTAAAATAATTTTAATGCGACTATGTCGCAGGTCGCGGGACTTTCCCGATCTCTGAAAAAAGTTTCTTGTGAATAATATTAATAAATACTGAATTCAATACTGAAGTTTGTATGGAAAAACAAAAGCATGTTGGTAAGATAGTTACCGCACTCGGTAACCTTTTTAAAACCTTGATCGCTACGCTCTCTCGGCAGGGGTCTGTAAATACTATGTAGAATTGTTCTTTGTACCGTAACTATTACTTACTTTTGAGTCACAGTTTTTATAAACAAAACAAATCGTCACAGATAATCCAATACGTGCGTGTAGTTATAGTTTTTTCACGGTCAAAACAAATAAATATGTCATAACTTTCCGGAAGAAAAAAAACTATATATTTGTGAAAACAGTGCAAGTTAATTATAGAGAAGTGTGCATAAATTATTACGAACACGCCTTCATCCAATTAAAAAAGTCTTAAAGATGGAGCTAATCAAACACGATTGGCTAGGGAGTGTTTGACAATTGAGTAAATAAACTTTGATTGGTCTTTGGCTGGTCGGCGCTAAAACATTGTGCATATCATTAATCAGTGCAGACATCTTAAGCGTGACGTAAGAACTGCTGCCCTGACAAAAGATCAAAGGCACCGGTATGTCAATATACATTGTCTTAGCACCTGTTCAGTTGACACTTTGTTTTTCACTTGGATATATATTGAGAAGGGTAAATGTTTTTAGCGACTATTGTAAGTTTATATTCTTCATCAACAAACCTAATTTTCTTTTATATATCGGGCGCTGATTAAAAAACTGAACATTATTATCAAATATCCCTGGTAACATTAAAATAAGATTCATATGTTTCTTTGAACATTATGTCATCGTTTCTTTACCAATCAGTTCTTAAAATTGAGCCTGTATCAACGCTAACAGAACTCTCAAATAATGTCATTTTTTTAGTGAGTAGATTGTTTTGGAATTTTGCAACCGTTTTTGGTCTATATGGTACGTGAACAAGTAACTTAAAAGATACAATACCTTATTTGACTTTGATGTTCTTTTAAGTGTGGGCCCCCTTTTTTCTCAAATGACCCCCTTTTGAAAAGTTTATGGGCCCGAAGGGCCCCCTGGGAATTTGTTCTAGATTGAACACTGCACATTAAGTAAGCACATACAATGGAAAATTTTTATTTCAGAGTAATATTAATATATTAGGCATAGGGTTGTGTGAGATATTTAGTAAACAGAGATTCCTCATCAAATTTCCAAACGTCTCTGTGACAAAGAGTAAATTTATGTACATTTTGCAGACTGATTACACATTTAAACAGGAAAAAAAGAAAATACTATTAGTTCAGAATAAATCATAATAAATATCTACTCAGTTTTAATTTACTTTAAGCATATGTCAGAAATGAATAAATGGTTTAAGCACATTTAAAATTGAAAACGTACACACGCTGCTTCATCAAAATTTGAGAAATCATGCGTCTATCAACTTTTAGTGGTACTATACCTAGGGTCGGTATACTTTGCAGACATTGTATGATTGTAGACAAGTTAAACATAGAGGGATATTGCAGATTTTGCAAACAATATAGCATAGGAACTTGAAATTCTATCAATATTAATGATAATATCCAAAATATACCCCCTATACAGTATGTTTATTTATAGTATATAGGGGGTATATTTGGATATTATCATTAATATTGGTTATTTGATAGAATTTCAAGTTCCTGTGCAATATAGATTATTAGGGGATGTACGCGTTAAATCTCTTGTCATAAGGTGTGAATGGGAAAGATACTGACTTATTTAATACTTAAAAAGTAGTACTGCAGTAGTATTTACAAAACCTTATACATGTTTGTTTAAAAAATGTTATGAGTGGTGAGGGAAAATTAAGAAAAATCCTATTTTGCAGACAGAAATTAGATTGATTTTTTTCCTTTTTTTCTAAAAAGTTGCATAAGAAAGATGTAGATAGCTGTCATCTTGGGTTATTTTCACATGTGTTTTATCTATATTATAGGGATATTTACCATATTTACAGCACAAACGAGTTGATCAACAGTAGGGGAAGAGTTGACCATATCAGGGATGAGTTAACTCTTTGAGGACGAGTTGACCAAAAGTAGGGGACGAGTTGATCAAAATGGTGACAAGTTGACCACGGGACGATTTGACCACGGGACGAGTTGACCGGATTACTCTTATTTTCGCTTTACACAACAATTTGAGCTGTTTCGTACAATGTATTTTCGGCTCAAACTTCACTTTTTTATATTTTTTGTTTCTGAAGTTTTAATTTGCTGTAAATTCATTCAAAGAATGCATAAAAAAAATAATTTACAAAATTACTTTAACAGATAAATGCACTATTTCAAAAATAAATCTTACTTTCCTAACCGCGATCTTATTTTCGCGAAAATAGCTTATTTTCGGTATCCATCTACAGTATATAAAAGTCTAATTTAAATGAAATAAAAGGTAACTGCTGAAATACATATAATATGGGTCAAAAATGTATATATATTTTATTACATATGTCCCAGCTGTACTTTACTGTATACGAATTTCATCGTCATTGGCAATATATAATAACTAGTGCACATTAAAAAAAGGAAAAATAGTTTCTATATCCATGAACAACTTGTAATTCAAGTAATTCTAGATATATCAAATGCGCTAGATCTATATAAACTATAAAAAAAATGCGAAGGAAAAAAATTAGTGATATTCAACCTGAAGTCACTGAATATTTACTTTCAGTTTGGCTGTCAACATGGCCGGTCCTTTGAGATATGACGGAAAAGTTGTACTTGTTACTGGAGCTGGGCAAGGTATTTATTTGCCTATTTCTAATTTACATCATAATAACTCCATATTTATCTTTTTAATTTGTAGAAAATTATTGAAAAACGATGTCTATTACGATGTTAATTGCACAGGTCAGGATTTAGAATGTTCAGACACATAAATTTTGCATAGGTATTCAGATATCATCTTGTATGATATTGAATTAGTGATCATCCAACTTAATATTTTTCTAACATTTAATATTTTTGCCCATTTCCAGTCATTAATTTTAAAATAAAATAAAAAAATAATTTATTTAACCATTGCAAAGTCCAATGTTTGAGTTAAAAAATAGATCTGGGTTATAAAGTAGGATGCTGAGAAATATAGGCTCAAGGGTCCAAGGTATGTCAATTATATTGAATGATATTTGAAACAGTTTAAGCCTTGGAACATTTCAGATTATTCAGTCATTATTAGACATCTCTTTTCTGTCAACTGCAATTTTCTATTCCCTTGCCCAATTAACTTGGCATTAACAATCTTCCCTTTCTGTCAACTGCAATTTTCTATTCCCTAGCCCAATAAACTTGGCTTTAACAGATTGACATATCTTCTAAAGAAAAAGACATAGCCTGTCCAGAATAAACTTGATGTCTTTTAGTTGGATTACTACATGTATATTAGTCTTCTCAAGTGACGCCCAAAGCTTAATTGATCCCAGGACCTTTTCTGTTTCTTATCTATGTATAAATGATCTTCCTGATATTTCAAATCACTTTATTAAAAGTTTGACTTTTTGTATACATCACAGCTGTTTATTACTCTCTAAACTACATGTATTTATTCATACTCCTTCCAACTTCATCAAGACTTACACCAGCTTGAGACATGAAATTCATTTTTAGCTCGACTTTTCTATGAAAAGGGGAGCTATCCTACTCGCCGTGGCGTCGGCGTCGGCGTTGGCGTCACACCTTGGTTAAGTTTTTCGTACCACCCCACTTTATTTCAGAAGTATTACAAGTATGGCTTTGAAACTTACCATACTTGTTCACCATCATAACCTCCATCTACAGACAAGAGTACATAACTCTGTCAAGGTTTTTGACAGAATTATGGCCCTTTTTTGACTTAGAAAGTGTATTGAGCTTGGTTAAGTTTTTTGTACCACCTCACTTTATTTCAAAACCATTGGAGGTATTGCTTTGAAACTGACCATACTTGTTTACCATCACGACCTTCATCAACAGACAAGAGGACATAACTCTGTCAAGGTTTTTGACAGAATTATGCCCCTTTTTGACTTAGAAAATACATTGAATATGGGTAAAATCCACTTATTGCCTTAACCCTTTGAGATATTGCTTTGAAACTTTTAATGCTATTTCACATCATTACCCCCATCTGTACGCAAGAGAAGGTAACTCTGTCAAGGATTTGTTTTAAAAATTAAGGCCTTTTATCGACTTAGAATCTTGGTTAAGTTTTTAGTACCAGTCCACTTTTTAGCTCGACTTTTCTATGAAAAGGGGAGCTATCCTACTCGCCCCGGCATTAAATAATGAATTGAACTTCCTTCATGTAATTCAAATATCAGTTTACAACGCATTATCTACATAGTGGACCCACGAAAAGTAACCAGTCACCCACAGCCTGTGTGAAAGAGATCCACTTGTGACCAACTGACAACATCTAAAAAAGCTTGATAAAATTTATCTATTACTTGTATTATAAGGTAACTATAATACTTTCACATACAAAGTCAAATCTATATATTATGCTGATTGTACAAAAATATACTGCTTCCTTGGCATAGATTTCTTGAAAAATTATGTTATTATGTCATTTACCAAGGTGTTCTGAGTGACGTAAAAATACCTTATTCTCTCAAAGTGGGTTTAATACTATTAAATTTATTTAAGGCTCAACTCAGTTTTTTTTTCTTTCTTACCAGCCCTCTTTTGACTTAAACATTTCAAACTTTGCTGCAGTGTTCAAGGGTATCACACAATTCAGTAAAATAATTCTTCACTAAATATCTTAATGCTCATGGCCATTGTTCACTTTAAAAATACAGAGATTCTTGTATTGCCTTTTACTGCAAAAACTTTTTTTATTGGCAAGCAATAAAAAAGTCGAGCGCGCTGTCTTACGGACAGCTCTTGTTTCTTAACCCAGTTTATTTTTATAGTCATCCAAATTGCAAATGAAAGTTTCAGTTACCAACACAAAATACCCTGCACAATACCATCCTAGAATCAGTGTCATGCAGATTCCAAAAAAGAAAATATTTGTTGAACAAAATCACATTTCTAACAGTTTACTGCAATTATTTGCCCAGTATTATAGTAAGAATGAAGTGAATTGTCCAAACCATTTTACCAATTGATTATATACCAATTATTGCAACATGGATTTTTTTATAAAAGTTAATATATTTGATAAGTCACCTTTAATTAAGGCTTAGTTATTGCAGTAAAACGGTTATTCCTATTAAAGTTAATTGTCAAATATATTGAGCTGTTATGGTTTGTTAGAAGTCTGGCATAATTATGTCATTGTCCACAATTTGTTCTTGCATGACATTCTCCTTAACTGCACAGGTCCAATGAAGTGTTCCTAATTAAGTCAGTGATGTCTTTTTCTTTATCTAGGTCTTGGAATAAAGAACACTTTGTATTTTGGTTTTCTTTAACAATTAAATATTATTTTAAAAATCTTCTGTGCCAGCAACTGTATTCTGATTTCAAAATAAGGTTGATAAGAAAGTTTACAAGAGAAATTATATGCCAAATTTTATGAAATCATTTTCCTATATAATAAAGTATAATTGCTATGGAAAAATAATCACCTGGGGGCCTCCGTGGCCGAGTGGTTAAGGTCGTTGACTTGAGATCACAGGTCTCTCACCGCTGTAGGTTCGATCCTCACTCGGGTCGAAATCTTTCATGTGAGGAAGCCATCCAGCTGGCTTGCGGAAGGTCGGTGGTTCTACCCAGGTGCCCGCTCGTGCCTGAAATAATGCCCGAAGGGGCACTGGGGGTCTTCCTCCACCAATAAAGATGGAAAAAATTGACGAAAAAATCTCAGCGGGACGCTCTAGGATGGCCCGACTTGAGTGTACGGTCGCCCACATGGGCGGCGACCTTAAATAAACGCATTAAAAAAAAAAATATATGGCAACTAATAGGAAAAAATTGGGGTTCATCTTTCCTTAACATATTAGTTGATTTGATATCAAAATAATTTTCTAGCTAGCATGTATTGGTGACTATAATTTATTTTGTTAGTTGCAAGGGTAAGAAGATAAGTATATTAATTTCAAACTTAAAGATATTATTCTTTGAAATCTTAACAAATTAATAGAGATTTCATATTTATCAATGTACATGTAAATACACCTTTATACAAATATATCATAGAATTTATTTTGTTTGTCTATTCAGCATACACTATTTTTAAGGTAAGCCTTTTGTTTTGGAATGGGAGAGAAAAAAGTCAAGATTTTAAAACTCCAAATGTTTTTTCTATATATTAGATCTTGGATTATATAGAAATATTTATTCTGAGTCTGAATTTCTAAAGAATGTAAAGCCAATGATTGATGAAAATTTTTAAATCACAGAATGATTAGTTACCAACCTATACTCATTGTATAATTTCAGGTCTTGGTAGAGAGTATGCCTTGCTTTTTGCGGACAGGGGAGCAGCTGTTGTTGGTAATTTTATCTCATTTGTTCAGTTATTGTTCCCATATGATTGCTTTATTGAACAGGATCATAATTTGAATGGAAAAGTATATTATTTAAACTTGCTAAAGAAAGCATTTTGATACTTTTTGGCCACATTGCATATGCTTTCATGTTATGTCCATCAACAGTGAATCCTTGGTACCCTTATTTTAAATACCGTATTTAAAATTTTAAGCAGTTTTTAAACGGGTTCCACAGAGTTTTTTTAACATGATGTGACTGAAAATATTATTTAGAGATTGTGTACAATTTGTTGAAGTCTGGGCAAATAATGTGTGCTAAATATCCAATCAATGCTATATTTTTCCATAATTAGCATTTTAATTGTGCAAATGGCCTGAAAAGGATTTAAATGCTTTTAGCTCAGATCAGGCTAACAACCAGTCTTACTGACACAAAAAAACAACAATTTTGAATTATATGTCTTTAGCCTTATGGGCTGTGTTTCATAGAAAGTCCTCAGTCTGAAATCAGTCTTAAGACCAAAATTGAGAAATTTTTGTGTTTCAAATATAATGTAATCCTTTGTTATGACTTTTAATTTCTCATGGGCATTTACTCATTGTGAATAAAAAGGTCTGTTATTGTATTTCTTAACTTTTCTCAGGAAAACGAATTTACTCATACATGTCATAGTCTACAGTATCTGACTGAAAACAAAAATGAATGTTGAAATGGTCTTAAGTTAGTCCTAAAGTTAGTTTTATGTCCTAGATCTACATGTAGGACTTAGATACACTTAGGACTTTCTATGAAACGCAGCCATGAACCTCAGTGGAGCTCCTTAAGGGTTCTATAATTTGTGGGTAAGTTGTTTTTCATGATTTATGGGAAACTTTTAATTGATCTTATGCATTATCATAATTATGACCCTGACTTTCAGTGAATGACCTTGGTGGAAGTTTTAAAGGTGAAGGTCAGAGCACTAGAGCAGCAGATAAAGTTGTGGAGGAAATCAGAGCAAAGGGAGGCAAGGCTGTTGCAAACTATGGTAAGCTATTACATGTATATTGTTTAATCATGCACTGGGGAAAAACTAAAATGAAATGTTAAATTTGACATTTTACATGTAGCATATACACATATTTCAAAGATGAGGTATAATGAAACTGCTTTGAATTGAGAATTTGTCTTGTGTTATTTTTTGAGATAACAGTATATAAATGCCTGAACGAAAATAAGTTTGATGAAAGGTTACTAGTAGTTTATTTAGTTGTTGGGCATGTAAGGCCACTCCCTGAACATGGTACAATCAGAAGCCTGCTGAATGTTTGCATTATATTTGTACTGGTTTGTCTATCATAACACAAAGAAAGAGAGAAAATTTTCTGTAAAAGAAGAAAAAATTTGCAGCCATAATAGTAAAGAATCTTTTTCACAGAATGCTGATGTTCAGGAATAGGCTCTATATTAGTGACAGAAAAGAGTCAATATATAATCTGAATACCTGAATACTTTTGATATAGTCATGCAAATTTGCAGTGAGGTTATTCCTGCAATAAGTAAACCTTTAATGTTTTTGTAGATTCTGTAGAATTTGGAGAAAAACTTGTCGATACAGCGATCCAGAATTTTGGACGAATAGGTAAAAAATTTGTATCTTATCTCTTAACCTGCTGACTTTGTATAATGTATTTAACCAGATTTGAATTTGGAACAGTCCATTTGAATATTTAGGGATTTCATTTTCAAAATAAAGAAATAACCTTGTCAATGGGCTCAGATGTGCAGGCTGGCTTGACTCCATACTGATATGGCGAAACCACAATATTGATTAGTATTTTAAGGACAATCTATATTAACATTTTGGAAATTATTTCTCAATTATACCACAGCATATAATTAAATGATATAAATTGTGAAATGCAGTTTATAACAAATGTCAATTCTTGTCTGAACTGCTAGTTGCTAGAATGTCAGATGTCCTATTCAGATGCCTGCTTTAATAATAATTGAAATAATGCGTACAGAAAGCTTTTGAGGTCTTTCTCTATCAGTAAGCTGAAGAGTCGCCATACAACCCATACTTAAAATCTACCCTAAAAAGTAAAAGAAAAGGGAGGAATAATGTTTTTTTTTGTTCAGTAACCCCTACTTTACCACTTTGGAGAATATTAAATGTGTTGTGTTGTTAACAAATTATAGTAAGTGAATAAATACTGAATATATATTTTCAGATATTGTAATCAACAATGCTGGTATTCTCCGAGACAAATCTTTTGCCAGGATCAGTGACCTAGATTGGGGTATGTATGTAAATAATAAAACATGAAAATCACTTAATACTGGAAAAGTGAATAATTTTTGCATCACAAAAAATTTTGCAGATTTTTTATGCACATTGAAGTAATTGCAAAAAGTTGTTGTAAAATTAGTGTGTTTGTGATATTGGCTAAAGTTTGAAAATAGCCTTGTAAAATCATGTCATCAATTTAGAAAATGGTAATGCATTCTAGTTTATTGTCAATCTTTATATAAAACACAATCTTGAGTGCAGTGTTTAATCATATCAATAAAATATCAAGATTTGTTAAATTTCAATAACATTTAACATATCCTGTGGTAATAGTTTCTACGTTTATGTGATTTTGATATCAATTATTCAGGTAATAAAATTGCAAAATAATAAGCCCCCTCTCCAACATTCATTTCTTGTTGTTACCATTTTCTTTTGCTTGATTTCTAGCCTATATTTAAAGTATAAATTGTAACTCTTTTGTAATCTCATGTGTCAACTTGTGCATAAAATAATGCATGAAGATGCATCAGAGGTCTTCCTTTACCAATAAAGCTGAAAAGTCACAGTGTCAGTATGACTTAAAATCCAACAATACAAAACAACTAACAAGCCATTGGTGATATCAATCTCAGAAGCAGGAAAATAGATATCAGAACCTGTGGAAGTTCAATGTAAACTAAGTCACGCACAATGGTTTATGAAAAACTTTAGAGACAAATTGTTGAAGGTTAATGGAATGGTTCATCTATAATTTCATAAATATAACATTTAACATAAGTACATCTATAAGAAATGTAGCCCATAAAGACTGCTTAAAATTGACTAAAATAGAAAAAAAAACTGTGTTCTCAAAGTATCTTTTTACCATATTATTTGGCTCTAATTAATTATGATACTAAATTACATATTGTTGGAAAAAGGAAAGGTACATTTTTGACAGTTTTAATAACCTTAAAAAAATGAGATGTTTACAACCACTTTAACTTTCAGCAACAGTTCTATCTTCTGTCTAATAATCCCACCAAAGATTTAACATTTATTTTTTTTAACACAGCTTTATAGCAAAGTTAAATCTAAAGTAATCATAAATTTGTGTATCTGATTGTACTGTTACTTGTTTTATTGCATTTTTAGCTCGACTATTCGCAGAATAATTGAGCTAATGCAGTCACCCATTTGTCGGCGTCAGCGTCCCTGTTGTTAAGTTTTTGCATGTAAGCTGGTATCTCCATAACTACTGAAGGGAATGGATTAACTTCACACACTTGTTCTCTGTGATTATCTAAGATGATTGGCACAAGTCCCATAACTCTGATTTGCTTTTAAGCTCACCTGAGCTTGCTCAGGGTGAGCTTTTAGGATCGGTGAATGTCCGTCGTCCGTCCGGCCGTCCACAATTACTTGTGAACACTCTAGCGGTCGCATTTTTGCCTCAATCATCATCAAACTTGGTCAGGATGCTTATCTAGTTGAAAGCTCGGATGAGTTCGAACATGGGTCATCTCGGATGAAAAACTAGGTCACAAGAGCTAAAAATAGAAAAACCTTGTGAACACTCTAGAGGTCACATTTTTGACCCAATCATCATCAAACTTGGTCAGGATGTTTGTCTAGGTGATAGCTTGGATGAGTTCGAACATGGGTCATCTCGGATGAAAAACTAGGTCACAGGAGCTATAAATAGAAAAACCTTGTGAACACTCTAGTGGTCACATTTTTGAACCAATCATCATCAAACTTGGTCAGAATGCTTGTCTAGTCAATTGCTTGGATGAGTTCGAACATGGGTCATCTCTGATGAAAAACTAGGTCACAGGAGCTAAAAATAGAAAAACCTTGTGAACACTCTAGTGGTCACATTTTTGACCCAATCATCATCAAACTTTGTCAGGATGCTTGTTTAGATAATAGCTCGGATGAGTTCGAATATGGGTCATCTCGGATGAAAAACTAGGTCACCGGAGCTATAAATAGAAAAACCTTGTGAACACTCTAGTGGTCACATTTTTTGCATCAATCATCATCAAACTTGGTCAGGATGCTTATCTAGTTGATAGCTTGGATGAGTTCGAACATGGGTCATCTCGGATGAAAAAGTAGGTCACCAGAGCTAAAAATAGAAAAACCTTGTTAACACTTTAGCGGTCACATTTTTGCATCAATCATCATCAAACTTGATCAAGATGCTTGTCTAGGTGATAGCTCGGATGAGTTCGAACATGGGTCATCTCGGATGAAAAACTAGGTCACAGGAGCTAAAAATAGAAAAAACCTTGTTAACACTCTAGTGGTCACAATTTTGACTCAATTGTCATCAAACTTGGTCAGGAAACTTGTCTAGGTCATTGCTGGAATAAATCGAACATGGGACATTTCGGATGAAAAACTAGGTCACAGGAGCTAAAAATAGAAAAAATCTTGTTAACACTCTAGTGGCTACTGTTGTGATCCAAATATTCTGTTAATTGGTCTGAAAGTTTGTTTTGATGATTTCTAAGTCAAGATCGAACATGGGTCATCTTGGATGAAAAACTAGGTCACACCGCCCAAATATGGAAAAACCTTGTTAACATTCTAGTGGTCACATTTTCGACTCAATTATCATCAAACTTGGTCAGGATGTTTGTCTAGGTAATTGCTTGGATGAGTTCGAAATCGCATGTGAAACTAGGTCACCGGAGCTAAAAATAGAAAAATCTTGTTAACACTCTAGTTGCTACTATTTTGATCCAAGTATCCTGGAAATTGGTCTGAAAGTTTGTTTTGATGATTTCTAGGTCAAGTTTGAATATGTGTCACCTGGGTAAAAAACTAGGTCGCACTGCTCAAATATGGATAATCCTTGTTAACACTGTAGTGGTCACATTTTTGACTCACCTGTCATGAGACTTGGTCAGAATGCTTGTCTAGGTAATTGTTTGGATGAGTTTGATAATTCAGGTGAGCGATCTAGGGCCATCATGGCCCTCTTGTTTACATAACTATGCCCCTTTTTCGACTTAGAAATTCTGGGTTAAGTTTTTGCGTGTAAAATGGTATCTCCATAACTACTGAAGGGAATGGATTGAAACTTCACACACTTGTTCTCTGTGATTATATAAGATGATTGGCACAAGTCCCATAACTCTGATTTGCTTTTTACATAGTAATGCCCCTTTTTCGACTTACAAATTCTGGGTTAAGTTTTTGCGTGTAAGCTGATATCTCCATAACTACTGAAGGGAATGGATTGAAACATCACACACTTGTTCTCTGTGATTATATTAGATGATTGGCACAAGTCAGATAACTCTGATTTGCTTTTTTACATAATTATGCCCCTTTTTAACATAAAAATTCTTGGTTAAGTTTTTGCGTGTAAGCTGGTATCTCCATAACTACTGAATGGTTTGTACCTTTTCGGACAATTTTATGTATTCATATAGGTAAGCATTATTATACTCAATGAAACACCCTTGTGACAACTTTTCGAAAAGTCAAGCGTTACTGTCCTCCGACAGTTCTTGTATAGTTTATAATTATGTTTTTTCATTTATTTTTTGTTGTAATTTTCAGATTTGATCCACAAAGTTCATTTAAGGGGATCATTTTCTGTGACCCGTGCAGCATGGCCCCATATGAAGAAAAATAACTATGGCAGGTAAAAAACTGCAATTTTTTTCAATAAACATTCCAGATGATGAAGGAAAAGAATGAAATGCAAGCTTTACTTGTTTTCAAAGATTCTACTTACCTATATATCAGCACTGGTGTGACTGACCTTTAGCCCTTTGTGAACTCAGAATAATAAAAAGCGGCCATGGATTTTGAATGAAATCTCATTTCTTTGTGAGTTGATACATATCCAGGCTGTTATGCTGCCGAACACTGAGAATAGTTGAGCTTTTTGCCGTGTTAGTAGCTCTTATTTGTTACAGGTTTGCCATTTTGGTCAGGCTCTTTACTGTTGGTAGATTCATTTTTAACTCCACTTTTTGAAGAAAAAAAGTGGAGTTATTGTCATGATCCTCCCATTGGCATGGGTTAACATTTTTGTTAATGTTCATTTTCTCAGAAGCTGTAAAAGTTATTCAGTGCAAAGTTCGTGTACATGTTAATTGCCGTAAACAGACACCACTTCAAAAGTGCAGATAAGTGTTAAATTAATTTTTGCAGAGTTATTCCCCTTTTTTCTATTTTGCTATTGTGCTTCTATTTAATTATCTATCACTGAGAAATGTGGAGTTTGAATGGACTATTCCAAAATTTAAATAAAGACAAATTCATGTCACAAATTCAGCAAGTCAAAGGTGTTAACTGTTGTGTCATCATGTATTTCTACAGAATCATTATGACCTCCAGTGCTGCTGGTATCTATGGTAATTTTGGACAGGGAAATTATAGTGCAGGTAAATGATTTTATCTGATTGTGAAACTTTTTGATACTGAGTATATATTTCATGTGAATGATAATTGTACATAGATCAACATTTGTTTTTGAAATAACATTTGTTTGTTTATGAATAGAATAACATTTGTTTGTTCATGAATAGAATAATATTTGTTTGTTCATAAATAGAATAACATTTGAACATTTGTTTGTTAATGAATGAAATAAAATTTGTTTGTTTATGAATAGAATAACATTTGAACATTTGTTTGTTCATGAATGAAATAACATTTGTTTGTTTCTGAATAGAATAACATTTGTTTGTTCATGAATAGATAACATTTGTTTGTTCATGAATGAAATAACATTTTTTTGTGCATTCACTGAACTGCTTAATATTAGGTATCAATATTATTGCAAATATATTCCATTTAAAGTAAAGAATATTATATTTCTTTTACTATTAAATGTTTACTTTATATATGATTTCATTTTTAAATTTTCAGCCAAACTTGGCCTGGTGGGATTGAGTAACACCTTGTCAATTGAAGGAAGGAAGTATAACATCAAATGTAACGCCATTGCCCCGTCAGCTGGGTCTAGAATGACAGAAACTGTGATGCCACCTGGTGTGTAAATAATGATAGAGTATATTTGTTATCAACAATTTTGAATTTTGACATTATTTTCTGTATACATTGCTTTTTCAAGGTTGTGAATGTTTTAAGTTTTGGATGTTTTCAAAATTTTATTAGATTTTCTAAAAATCGCTTTATGCAAAATTTATAAATATTAGGTAAATAAACATAGTTTGTTTAATTTTAAACTTGTCACTTAGAAGAATAGGGAGAGCTACATGTGTCGTACTCTACCCAACATTGGTGTCTCACTTTGGTTAAGATTTTGCATTCAGGTTGGTATCACCAAAACCACTGCAGAAAATGGGTTGAAAAGTTCATGAAACTCATTCTTTGTGTTTATCTCACCTGAAAGGCACAGGTCCATTAACTTTGAATTACCTTTTTAACAGAGTTATGCTCCTTTACTTACTGTCAAACACTGAGAATAGTCACACTTTCTAGGTCTGTTTGTATACTTACAGTGTGTACATACATGTCTTAATCTAAGTTTGTTTTTATGTCTTACAATATTGTAAGGATTGTATTTGTTCTATGTCTTATAATAGTGTAATGATTGTTATAAATTATATGAAAAATTGTTGTTTATCAGAGCTTGTTGCTGCGTTAAAACCGGAATACGTTGCACCGCTGGTGGCGTACCTATGTCATGAAGATACTGAGGAAACTGGTGGACTGTTTGAAGTTGGTGCTGGATGGGTCTCCAAATGTGCGTACATATTTAAGTCCTTCATTTACTGTTTGAAGTGTGCTAATTGAAGAATGTTTTTAGTTCTGTTACTTTAGGTCATGACGAAAACAAGCTTTTTATGCCAAAAAGTACAAATATAATGCTAATGCTGTAGTATTCTTATATCGATTTCACAACCAGAGCTGTAATTGTATAATAACATAGCATTTGCTAGGGAAAATGTTATTTCTAAATATTTGTAAAATCTTTGTCGTACAAAAAAATCATTAAATACTCTGTCATACAAAAAAATCTGTTAGACCTTTGTTGTACAGAAACATCTGTTTGGCCTTTGTTGTAATGAAAAATCTGTTAAGCCTTTGCCATACAAAAAGTTGTATAAGGCCATTGCTATAGGTAAATATCTATAAGGCCTTACAAAGTCAATCTGCACTTTTTACTGTCTCATCCTGACTCTCAATTATTGGCAACTTGGATACAGTATTAATATAATAAAACCCTCCAAATACTGATGGACTGTGTGAAGAAATTAAAGGCAGGACAAGTTCATTACACAAATTAGGCATAGTTAAAGTGTTTACTCTGCCTGTAAAAGGAAATTTAAAGGATCTAGTTATATATATGAAAGTAAAATATTGGTTGAAAAAAGTCCTTATATTAATAATTCCCCCGCCCCCCGGAAAAAACACCCAAAAACTACACACAAACAAACAAAACCCCCAAAATTATTTACATAAGAAAATCTTCCTTTATGAAAGACATGACATGATTTGTAGCTTGTTTGACTTTTAAGATGAAAATAAGTTTCTGTTATACCTATTTCAGTGCGTTGGGAAAGAACACAGGGGGCTGTTTGCAGGACAGCAACAACAAAAATGACCCCAGAAGCAGGTAGGAGGAAATTTTATGTTTTCAAAGAAAAGTATTTTATGTTTTAAAGTGTTTAAAGTCATGCTTTTGTTTATAGTATATCTTAGACTGATGGTATCAAATGTTACTACCATGTTACCAATAGAGACTGATTTCATGATTTGCACTTTTCACCATTTAATTAGTACATGATTTTTAATTTTCCCTTAAAATTATGAATGGTTTTGTCTTGATTTAAAGATGGGATTTAAGGTCTTTAGTATAGTAAGGGTTAAAGTATTTCCTTGTATAGACAGCTATTCTTTAAAGGAATTCATGAAAAACAGCTATTCTTTAAAGGAATTCATGGAAAAATGGTGTAATGTTAAGGTCGTAAATGAAAATGTTCTAAAGATAAAAGATGATGAAAAAAAATTTTCATATCATATCAATTCTTATCATATGTATTCTAATCCCCATTACTTATATGAATCTGACCAATAGAAAAGTTTATTATGTCCTTACTTTTCTTACAGTGCCCTGAGTTCACGATTTGGTGCCAAACTTTGGCACCATTCCCGTGATGTAAAGTACATTTTTTCTCTTATTTTTAAATCAAAATTCACCTTCGGAATAAATATTTCATGTAAAATCTTAAATAGTACCAACATGTACGTATATCTATCAAAAGCAGGGACCCTTAATAATATTTTATCAGAATTTTATTTTTGGAAATATAATCTGTAATAGTTAACAACATGACTATTATTACTATTGTATGTATGTGCAGCAAATAAAAAATGCCTGAAATTCCTTTTTCACCCCCCTTCAGGTATAGATTCTGTTCGCCAAAACAGAAAGATCTGTCTTATCACAATTTTTTTTTATGAATTTCTTTCCTTATATTTGTTGGCTTGAATAGATCTATTAGTATTCTCTAAATTCTCTACAAATACAAGGCACCCTTAGAAGATACCGCATTAGATAAAGAACAAAAAGTATTCCTTGCTAGGCTAAATGCTGTTCATTTAGCCAGAAAGGCCGGCTGGAGGATTTTGTGAATTTGATTTTGATTTGTGTGATATTTCTATGTTACAGTAAGAGATGCTTGGAAGGACATCACAGACTTTGACAACGCCACATACCCTCAGTCAACAACAGAGTCGACCCGCCACCTGATTGGTATCCTTGGTGACCTGGATGGTGGGTTAGGTGGAAAATCTTCCTCTAGATCATCATCATCATCATCATCATCATCAGGTGGTGGTATCAACGTGGTATGAAAATCTTTATGGATTTATGCTAGGAGGAGATATTTTGTTGATTTGAACCTTATTATAATAGACTAACATTGTTTTCAATTTCATAATTCAAAATATTAATTGAAATTTCATGGGGTTTAAAGCAGCATGCCTCCAGAATCATGCTAATTTTTATGAAAATTTGAAAATGTATTTAACAGTATAATATTGTGAAGTTACCAAAAGAATGCAATTTACACATTGTCAATGGCACCTATCCCATGTCAATTACCAAAAAGATGTCAAAATATGCAAAAATAGCGCTTTATGCGTTAGTAACGCAATAGAAATATAGGTATGAATACTGAAAAATCTGTCATTAATTGCACATAACATGTAAATTATTATTAGAACTTTGAATCTTTTTACTTTTCCTAAAATCTAAGTACATTTTTCTCAGGTTTGATTGTATTTATATTTATTTTTGCTTATCTGAAGGTAAGCTGCTTTAAAGTTTCGCTGTACTAAAATATTCTATACATGTACTGTGATAAGATTATATATAGAAGTATAGGCTGCCATAGTGCTTCACTGTAACATACAACTGATTAAAATACAAAAGTAAACCGGGAAACAACCCAGTAATGTGCTTTTTCCTTTCTCCCAGCCTCCCCTCACCACCTTGAAAATATATGGCTATTTCTATTAATTAGCTATTCTTTTTTATTGTTTCAAAAAAAATTGTGTCCATTTTGTTGGGTTTTTAGATTATTAGATGAAAAAATGGTAGTTCTGTTTGTTTGTATTTTATCGCATTGCTAATCTATATCAGGGTATTTTCACCCTATCACCTAAGGTTGAAATAAGGCCCCATTCTCAATCAAATATAGCCTCTTTTTTCCCCCTATGAACAAATTCTTAACAGCAGCAAAAAATTCAAACTGTTTCAACGTCTGAGAAAACTGAACTGTTTTGACTTGTTTCTTAAAATAATGGACAGCTTGTATGATCATCATCATACACAAGTTAAAATCTTAAAAGTCATGTATATGGTAGTTTTTCAACTTTTAAGATTTTCAATGATGTAGTAGGACACTTATTTAGTTAATTAAAAGTATATACCATATACATATCCAAATCGGTGATTTTATTCCTCGCATCCGAACTCCAAACAGTGATGTTATTGAGCAATAAAATCACAGTTTGGGATATTTTATTTCTTAAGTCACAGGTTGACCTGGTTTGCACAAAAGAACACATGGTTTTGTTTATGATACTGTTTGTGAGCAGTTGACCTAGCAATAAATGGAAAAGGTGTGGCTAAATGTTCTGCTACGAAAAAAACGGAAAGGTCCATATATTAAAGTATATTAAAGTGTTTATTGATAGTGCCTTTTCTTTAAAAAAAAAATTTTTTTTTTGTAGGAATTGGCAAAGGCAGCCAAGATTAAACCAACAACCTTTACCTATGAACCGAAAGATGCTATATTGTATGCATTAGGAGGTAATTTCAGAATATATTGTTGCAGGTGGTGATGATTCATAAAACTGGTTTATTTTTCTTGCGTTTACCTTATTTAAGTTACATAACTTATATATTTCTTATCAAGTTAACAAGATGTTTTAAGATGCATTGTTGGATATGTAATTGGAAAGATTTAATTTTTTAGATGCATTGATGGAAATAAAATCTTAGCTTGATGCAAATTTTGTTTAAATGCATTGATGAAAATGAGATGCATTGATGGAATTATGATGAATTGATGGAAATATAATGCATTGACAGAAAAATCATTTAAGATGCATTGATGGAAATATAATGCATTGATGAAAATGAGATGCATTGGTGGAAATAAATTGTCAGAAATATGATTTAGAATGCATTGATGGAAATATAATGCATTGACAGGAATATGATTTAAGCTGCCTTGATGGAAATATGATGTATTGATTGAAGTATAAATTAACCAATATGCATGGATGGAGATATGATTAATGATGTGTGGATGAAAAAAATAATTTGTTTTAGTGATTTGTAATATTATGTATAAAGAAACAGAAACTTTAAAAAGTATAAAAACATTGATGTGACCGCCTCAGTGTTATTTCATCAAATGTGTATTCCCGTTATTTTTAGATATGTCGTTTATACTTCAGTGGGATATACAACAAAAGACGAAGATTACCTCAAGTTCTTGTTTGAAGGGTCAGAAGATTTCAGTGTTGTACCAAGTTTCTGTATACTCCCCTCTCAAGCCAGTACATTTGGGTCATTTTCAGGAGGAGTACCAGGCCTTGGTGTGGATGTTACCAAGGTGCGTTCTGCATTGTTCATGCAAATACATTTTTGGAACACTTTAATATAACGAATATCAGTGATATTATAAGAATATCAGTGATAAAAAGAGCAACATTGATTATAATTAGAGTGCATTTATGATAAGAAAATAGTGATCTTGAGTTCATTATTATTGATAATGAAAATATACCTACCATGTCTTCATTTAAACATCCTGGATGGCATTTTGAATTTATGTTACAATATAAACCAGTACCGAATCCCTGTTTTCAAAATATACAAAACTCTTGGTAAAATTTCAAATTAACTACCAGATGACTGTTTGTAACCTAGTGACATACCTACTGCAAAAAATGGTGAGACCGGTTCAAAGTAAACTTGCTGACAAAGCATTGGGTGTAATGTAGGAGTGCTTACATAGTGCTTAGTTACATGTAATCATGCGAGTTAGTACATTATTGTAAAATATGGATACACAAGTTATTTATTTCAAGATTACATTGTGTGTGATCAGTAAGCCTATATGATTATTTATTTACTCTGATTTAACATATTTTAATTTTGAATTATTTTTACTTATACTAAATGTGTATACAGAAGAGATTTAATAGAAATTGTTGTGGGAGAAAATGGTGAGGTGTGTATTGGGGTGGGGAATGCTGGTAGTAGCATTTAAACAGGGGTTTACACTTTTATAAGAAGGAAAGATGGGAAGATTGAATTGAAGATAAAAATTATGGTGTTTCAGATTTTGCATGGAGAACAATATATGGAGTTATATAAACCATTCCCAGCTAATGGCAAACTGACATCACAGGCTCGTGTTGCCGACGTTCTAGATAAAGGTGTCGGAGCATTGATACTGATGGAAGGTACGCTGATTTTAATCATTATATTTTCTGTTAGTTAAACAAGACATTCCTGCATTTTAAGAAAATGGCTCGAGCATATATGTAAAAACTGTAATTTTTGTTATATGCTTTTTTAGGTCAGTGTGCACTATTCTCAGAGTAGTGTCATATGAATACATGTAGTTCAAAACTGCTTGCTACACAAATTTTCAATATAGCATATTTACAAGTGAAAATAATAATAAAATATTTATGATATAATAAATAGATTAAAGAAATAAAAATATTCTCAATGCATAGATCTGACTGACTGATTGCATGCAAGTTGCAAAATATTACAGAATTTACTTTTTAGCCCGACTTTTAGAAGAAAAGGGAGAGTTATTGTACTTACCCGGCTTTGGCGTCACAATTTTGTTTTTTGCACACAATAAAAATGTTAAAGGGCACAGGCTGAATCTTTACACACTTATTTAAGAGCATGATATGAGGTTACTATTTAAGGAACAGAACTCTAACATGGGTTTTGACAGAATTATGCCTCTTTTTTACTTTACTTATTTACTAGTATCCAGTCTCTTTTTTGGTTTTCATGCACTGAGATAAGCATGCTGTCATACCAACAGCTCTGGGTTATCAAAATATTTCAAGTCTGCCTGCTGAGCTCAATACTAAGGGAGAGTAATCCAGGTGTCACTTGTTAGTTCCCAGAGGGGAGGCTAAATTTCTTGGCTATAATCAATCTTGGACACTAAGTAATGATTATTTGTCTGTCACTTCTGATTCAAAAATCATGTAGGATTGCCATAATAGTCTGTCACATTTGGAGAAATGATAACTGATTAGTTATCCAGGATAGTCGGTAAGGTGGACTGACCACCAAAATATGACAAAAAATGTATTATAATTGACAGAAAAACCAGAAAAACAGTAAGAGCTACTTCTACATATTTTGAGATGTAATTGTTATTTTCTGTTGATAGTCTTAGGCTCACTTAAGCTATTTAACAGAATATAACTAATAACTAAAATTAGTAATGAAATTTAACCTGAAGGTGTGTTTATTTATCACTTTATTGTTAGAGAACTCATTAATTCCAAGGTCCTCACAATTATCTGCAAGATTTTGGAACAAAACATGTTTACAGCCATTTCACCTCTGTGCTGATCTCGAAAAACTTGACAGACAGGTTTTATTCTGTTATAGTGGATACATATGATGAAAAGAAAGAGAAGATAGCTTTTAACCAATCAGCAATCATGGTGATTGGAGCAGGTGGTTTCCAAGGTAACAAGACATCGCCAGCTCTTAAGGCCTTGGTTAAACCTCCGAAGCGTGCTCCAGATGCTAGCATGGCTGAGAAAACATGTGTTGACCAGGTATGAGGATTATTAAGCTTTTGTAAGAATAAAGTTTTTTGAATTTTACTTTAAAAAAAATTGAATGTTTAATATTTTATTGTTTGATAATAAATAACAAGGAACATCACAATGCGATGCAACCAGGTTTTCAGCAAAATATTTCACAGAAGCTTTGTCATGAAGGGGCATTTGTTTTTAATACAACTTTTAGGAGGAATTATGGCTTTTTTAATATTCCTCAAACAAAAATGATTGAGAGAAATTTGATGTTGTCTATTCGCCTTTTTTCCCAAATGTTTTAGAAAGGTAAACAGTACTTTATTTTTGTCTTAATTTTTGCATTTTTGCGTCTCTTGTCATTTTCTTTTTGTCAACAATATTGGCGTGTGGTTGTTTTGTGCGATATCAAGAAAAAGTATGTTCACAATTTAAAAAAAATACTTGAATGAAGTCTTGGAAGAAACATGGGAATTTAGTGAGCGCCAGGGCACTTGATGACAAAGCTTCTGTGAAAGTTTGGTCAAAATCCATTGAGAAATGTAGGAGAAGTTGCGCACTGTAGAAATTGTTCACTATATATTCTGTATAAGGAAAAAAATATACAAAGGGCCATAATTTGGTCAAATATTATCCAATCACAAAAACCCCGACAATATGTGCCAGCACTTGAAAACAAAGCTTCTAAGAAAGTTGGTCAAAATCCGTTGAGAAATGTAGGAGGAGTTGAGCACAAGAAGAAATTGTTCTCTATATATTCTGTATAAGGAAAAAATATACAAAGGGCCATAATTTCGGTCAAATATTATCCAATCACAAACCCCGACAATATGTGCCAGGCACTTGATAACAAAAGCTTCTAAAGAAAGTTTGGTCAAAATCCGTTGAGAAATGTAGGAGGAGTTGCGCACAGAAGAAATTGTTCACTATATATTCTATATAAGGAAAAAAAACAAAGGGCCATAATTAGGTCAAATATATACCAATTGCAAAACCCTGGCAATATGTGTCAGGGCACTTGATGACAAAGCTTCTGAGAAAGTTTGGTCAAAATCCGTTGAGAAATGTAGGAGGAGTTGCGCACAGAAGAAATTGTTCACTATATATTTTATATAAGGAAAAAAAACAAAGGCCATAATTAGGTCAAAATATTATCTAATCGCAAAACCCCGACAATATGCGCCAGGGCACTTGATGACAAAGCTTCTGTGAAAGTTTGGTCAAAATCCGTTGAGAAATGTAGGAGGAGTTGCGCACAGAAGAAATTGTTTACGCCCGCCCGTCCGCCCGCCCGCCCGCCGACATACCTCAATCTAATAACCAGTTTTTTGCTTCGGAAAACCTGGTTAAATATGTATTTGATGAGTTGAATGTTTGAAAAATTGTTTTTTTTCACTCTGCGAGTTCAATTTTTAATCTTTATTTAGTGAGATAGGCTGCTGGGTGTGAGGGGGATGGGAGTCATGTGCAAGATATATGTATGTCACAGAGATATGCAAAGGAATATTTAAAAGGCTGTCATTTCTTTGATATGATAGGAATGACTTTTATTATGTGCTTTTGTAAAAAAGTTTTCTAATCTTGATGTTAAGTATAAATTAATTGTAATTCTGCATAAATTTCAGGCTGCCCTATATAGATTAACAGGTGATAGAAATCCTCTACATATAGATCCTAGCTTTGCTGCCATGGGAGGTAACTATTCTATTTTTACTCTTATATTTAATACAACATGTTTTCAACACTGTAGGTTTACTGCAAACACACTTAGAAAAATGTTTTACAGATGTGTCACAAATTTCTCTATTAGAACTTGAAACTATATTCAAACTAACAGGACCTATTGTTATCTTTTAACCTGCTCAAATTGCTGGAATGGACTTGCCTCCCATCTAAGAATTAATTTTGAGTCAATTCAGATTTTAAGTGATTTCAATATCAAATTACACAAATTCATTTACCAACAGTAAAGGGCCTGAAAGGAAAGAACAGATTTATACAGGCATTGAAAATGTTTCTTTTTATTGTAAGTTTTCAGGGTTTTACAAATTTTGACTTTATCCATCCATATCTACCACTGGTTTGTCACACATAACAATCAAATTGATTGACCCTCCTGTTATGACATCATTGAACTTTACAAAACCAACCATTCAGATTGAGTGATATTATCATTTGACTATTAGAGTGCATGTAAAAAATAAATATGTATGTTTTTATATGCAGGTTTCAAGCAGCCTATATTACACGGGATGTGTAGTTTTGGATTTGCCACCAGACATGTAATGAAGACATATGCCAACAATGATGTGTCCAAAATAAAGGCAATTAAGGTCATAGAGTATATATTTTTATTTTATTATTTAAATGGGGTTAAAGGTAGTTAGCAGTAAATGTAAGGACATGCTTTATTAGCTTATCAAAAATGTACACACATCATTCTACCATACTGCATTGCATAACGATATACAGTCGGCATCGTTCTTGCGTCCACCTTTATTAAGCGGCCGCATAAAATCCCTCCGGATGATTTTTACTATATAAGTTAATTCCATTAAGCGACAATTTTATATCGCGGCCAGCGGCCACTAAATGTCGGCCCAAATGTACAAAATTAAGTGTTAAAGTATCTATTAAACGGCTGTGACAAACAATCGTCCCTAAGGGCATTCTCGTAATCAGCGAGTATGTTTGATGCAAACAAATATTGTTCATGGTCATTGGTCTTAAAGTATCTATTAAACAACCGTCACAAATTATTGTTGTTTAAAAACGAATTGAATAACAATCGCACTTGTTTCAAAATCGGAAAGAAAGAAAAAACAGTTTTCTGATCGTAATATTTATTGTGACATATTTTGTCAGAGTAATAACGTATCACAACACCGCATTTGCACAGTTTGTCATGTGCTCAGAGTGACCTCCCTTCCAGAAAATCAAATAGAAAATTACGTCGGAAAGAGCGAAAAAATGACAGACAACTAATAAGACCGGATAAATTAAATGAGGAAATAGTGCTTGATTCTGAGTAAATAGCAAATGTCATCGTTTGTAGTCGAAATGAAATCGTGAAATGTAGTGCACTGAACGTTACAGAACCGAGCCTTTCATTGCTGATGGTGTAGGTGCTCATCTGATGCTTTATAAAATACATATAGTACCCCATTAAATATCAATTAAATAAAAAAATCCTAGATCTCTAAAAACCTTATTGAACTTGAAATCAGGGTAGTGTGAAAACTAATTGCTGAAAAAATCAAGAAGTTTAAAACTCATTGCATGAAAAATTATCTGGAGCTCTGGGGCTGATGATTCGAAAGTATGTTCAGGAGATGTGTATAAACATATTAACAATATAAGACAATATGCTTTCTTTTATGGTCAAAATGACCTGCTTGATAGTATAATGAGCGTAGATCACATTTGTTCACACATTTCTACTAAAAATCAATAAACAAACCATATTAATGATTTTTTTTAAAAGTCATAAATGTAATTATGAAACTGTAATACATACATAATATTGTACAGTTTTTGTTTTTATAAGAATGATGTTATTATATCCATAACTTGTAATATAAAAAGTCCCGAATTTTCCAGAATTCTATTGAGAGACCACTTTATTAAGAGACCACTTTTTGGCAGTCCCTTGAGTGGTCTCTTAATACAATGTCGACTGTATAACAAATTAACCTATTACAAATTAATTAAAACAATACAGAGGGGACAAGGAATTGCTTACAGACAGACAGATAAATTATTGAGATAAATGCATAATTAGAATCCTGGAAATTTTTTGGGTGTATAACTTAATACAGAAATTGCTTTTTATATTGATTTATTAAGGGATTTTTTGACTGATATAATATAGTTAACACTGTTTTCTTCTCTTTTGTGCATATTTTAGACAAGATTTTCAAAACCAGTTTTACCAGGTGAAACAATACAAACAGACATGTGGAAGGATGGAAATAGAGTACTCTTTCAATGTAAGGTGAGGTGGATTTTTTGTTTTAATAAAAAGATCTGTGAGAAAAAAAAAAAATTTCTACAATGAACATGAACAGATGTTATTTTAACAATGGCTGAATCTAGATACGAAATGATTCTTGTATTCTTTTAATGGAGGGCAATTAATAATAATTGCAACATGAAAAACTACATTTACATCAATTTATCATTTTTGTGTCGCCTCTACGGAGTAGTGGCGACATATAGGGATCACTTCTCCGTCGTCTGTCCGTCTGTCTGTCTGTCCGTCTGTCCGTCCGTCCGTCACAAAACTTGTCCGGACTACTCCTCATAAACTACTGGTACAATTTCATCCAAACTTTACAGGAATGATCAGTACCAAGTCTAGTTGTGCATATTGTCAGGATTTTCCGGTTCAATGATTTTTGTCAGAGTTATGGCCCTTTAATAATTTTTAATTTTAAAGTTTGTCCGGACTACTTCTCTTATACCACTAATGCAATTTCAATGAAACTTTACAGATTGACCTGTAGCTAAAGTCCTTGCGCATATTGCACGGGTTTTCCGGTTGAATGGATTTTTGGCCGAGTTATGGCCCTTTGATAAAAAAGGTTTCTTTTTCTGTGTGTTGCCAGATACACAAAAGCTTGTCCGGACTACTCCTCATAAACTACTGGTGCAATTTCATCCAAAACTTTACAGGAATGATCATACCAAGTCTAGTTGTGCATATTATCAGCATTTTCCGGTTCAATGATTTTTGTTTGAGTTTATGGCCCTTAAATAATTTTATTTTTAAAGTTTGTCCAGACTACTTCTCTTATACCACTTATGCAATTTCAATGAAACTTTACAGGATTGATCTGTAGCTCAAGTCCTTGCGCATTATTGCACGGGTTTTCCGGGTTGAATGATTTTTGGCCGAGTTATGGCCCTTTGATAAAAAGGTGTTTTTTCTTGTGTGTTGCCAGATACGCAAAAGCTTGTCCGACTACTCATAAACTACTGGTGCAATTTTATCCAAATTTTACAGGAATGATCAGTACAAAGTGGTTAGTCTAGTTGTGCACTGTCCGTCTGTCTGTCCGTCTGTCACAAAATTTGTCCCAACATGAAATTGGCCATCATGAGGCGACACATGTGATTACTGATTGCTCTTGTCTATATTATCTGTGAGATGCTATTATCTTTTTACCTTTAAATTAAAGAATTTTACAAACATTTGGAATAAAGTGTTAAAATGATTGTGAAAAGGGTGTGTTTTGTACAGTTATTATTGCAAATTTTTATTCTAATACTCATATTGAGATCACACCCTAAGTGGTCAGTTTAAAAAAATTGTTGAGAGAAAAGATGTTGAAATAATCAAGGAATGATGGCACTTTATTGTAATTTATTTGTAATTATTACTTATTTGTAATTAACAAATGTGTGCATGTTTTATATTTCAGGTTGTAGAGACAGGGGCTGTGTGTCTGATGGGAGGATATGTAGATCTTTATGAAGGTGCTGGTGATGCTAAACCAGCTACTCAGGTTAGTACTGTGTCATTAAACTAGACTCTTCTGAATTCCTCCAATGGGAATGTCCCATGTCCGAGTTTACGAAATGGGCATAATAAATGTCTGAGCTCCTGCAACGACCATGGCCTACTTCTGAGTTTCAAAACTGAGTATGTCTATTGTCTTAGGTCCTGAAATATTTATGTTCTATGTCTGAAATCCTTAAATGGGCATGTCCTACATCTGAGTTCCTGAAATAAACATGTCTAATGACCATACAATTGAGTTCAAGTAATGACCATGAACTATATCTAAGTTCCTGAAATGACCATGTTCTTCATCTGAGTTTCCTGAAATGACCATGTTCTTCATCTGAGTTTCCTGAAATGGGCATGTCCTACATCTTAGTTCCTGAAATTGGCATGACCTGTATCTGAGTTTCCTAAAATGGGTCTTTACTACATCTGAGTCCCTGAAATGGGCATGCCCTACATCTGAGTTTCCTAAAATAGGTTTGTCCTACTTCTTAGTTTATGAAATAGGCAGGTTCTACATTTGAGTAATAAAATAGGCATGTTCTACATCTAAGTTTCCTAAAATGGGCTGTCCTACATCTGAGTTCCTGAAATGGGCATGTCCTACATCTGTGATTCCTGAAATGGACATGTCCTACATCTGACTTTTCTTAAATGGGCATGTCCTACATCTGCATTTCCTGAAATGGGCATGTCCTACATCTGAGTTCCTGAAATAAGCATGTCCTACATCTGAGTTTCCTGAAATGGGCATGTCCTACATCTGTGTTTTCTGAAATGGGCATGTCCTACTTCTGAGTTGCTGAAATAGGCATGTCCTACATCTGAGTTTCCTGAAATGGGCATGTCCTACATCTGAGTTCCTGAAATAGGCATGTCCTACATCTGAGTTTCCTGAAATAGGCATGTCCTACATCTGAGTTTCCTGAAATGGGCATGTCCTACATCTGAGTTTCCTGAAATTGGCATGTCCTACATCTGAGTTTTCTGAAATAGGCATGTCCTACATCTGTGTTTCCTGAAATGGGCATGTCCTACATCTGAGTTCCTGAAATAAGCATGTCCTACATCTGTGTTTCCTGAAATGGTCATGTCTTACATCTGAGTTCTGAAATAAGCATGTCCTACATCTGAGTTTTTTGAAATAAGCATGTCCTACATCTGAGTTCCTGAAATTGGCATGTCCTACATCTGAGTTTCCTGAAATGGTCATGTCCTACATCTGAGTTCCTGAAATAGGCATGTCCTACATCTGTGTTTCCTGAAATGGGCATGTCCTACATCTGAGTTTCTGAAATAAGCATGTCCTACATCTGAGTTTTCTGAAATAGGCATGTCCTACATCTGTGTTTCCTGAAATGGGCATGTCCTACATCTGAGTTCCTGAAATAAGCATGTCCTACATCTGTGTTTCCTGAAATGGGCATGTCCTACATCTGAGTTCCTGAAATAAGCATGTCCTACATCTGAGTTTTCTGAAATAAGCATGTCCTACATCTGTGTTTTCTGAAATGGTCATGTCCTACATCTGTGTTTCCTGAAATAGGCATGTCCTACATCAGAGTCTGAAAATGGCATGCCTACATCGAGTTTTCTTAAATGGTTCATGTCCTACATCCCTGATGTTTTCTGAAATGGGCATGTCCTACATCTGAGTTCCTGAAATAAGCATGTCCTTCATCTGAGTTTTCTGAAATAGGCATGTTCTACATTTGTGTTTTCTGAAATAGGCATGTCCTTTATCTGAGTTTCCTGAAATAAGCATGTCCTACATCTGAGTTCTCTGAAATGGTCATGTCCTACATCTGTGTTTCCTGTAAATGGGCATTTGTCCTACATTCTCTTAGTTCTGAAATAGGCATTCCTAACATCTGAGTGTTTTGAAATGTCATGTTCTACATCTGAGTTTCCTGAAATGGGCATGTCCTACATCTGAGTTCCTGAAATAGGCATGTCCTACATCTGTGTTTTCTGAAATGGTCATGTTCTACATCTGAGTTTCTTAAAAAGGCATGTCCTACATCTGTGTTCCTGAAATAAGCATGTCCTACATCTGTGTGTTCTGAAATGGGCATGTCCTACATCTGAGTTCCTGAAATAAGCATGTCCTACATCTGAGTTTCCTGAAATGGTCATGTCCTCCATATGAGTTCATGAAGAAGGCATGTTCTACATCTGAGTTCCTGAAATAAGCATGTCCTACATCAGTGTTTTCTGAAATGGTCATGTTCTACATCTGAGTTCCTGAAATGGTCATGTCCTACATCTGAGTTCCTGAAATAGGCATGTCCTACATCTGAGTTTTCTGAAATGGTCATGTTCTACATCTGAGTTTCCTTAAAATAAGCATGTCCTACATCTGTGTTTTCTGAAATGGTCATGTTCTACATCTGCGTTTCCTGAAGAAGACATGTCCTACATCTGAGTTCTTGAAATTGTCATGTCCTACATCTGAGTTCCTCAAATGGGCATGCCTACATCTGAGTTCCTGAAATTAGCATGTCCTACATCTGTGTTTCCTGAAATGGTCATTTTTCTACATCTGAGTTCCTGAAATAGGCATGTCCTACATCTGAGTTTCCTGAAATAGGCATGTTCCTAATCTGAGTTTCCTGAAATGGTCATTGTCCTGGCATCTGAGTTCATGAAGAAGGCATGTTCTACATCTGAGTTCCTGAAATAAGCATGTCCTACATCTGTGTTTTCTGAAATGGTCATGTTCTACATCTGTGTTTCCTGAAATAAGCATGTCCTACATCTGAGTTCCTGAAATGGGCATGTCCTACATCTGAGTTTTCTGAAATAGGCATGTCCTACATCTGTGTTTTCTGAAATGGTCATGTCCTACATCTGAGTTTCCTGAAATGGGCATGTCCTACATCTGAGTTCCTGAAATTAGCATGTCCTACATCTGAGTTCCTGAAATTAGCATGTCCTACATCTGAGTTCCTGAAATAGGCATGTCCTACATCTGAGTTTTCTTAAATAAGCATGTTTCTAAAAATAGAAATACAGTTAAATGTCTATTTCTAGAGAACTAATAGATGGATGATCACCAAACTTTGTCTGTAGCATTCTTGGGTAATCTTTTATCAAGTTTGCTAATATTATTTTGATTGGCCCCTTTTAGGGGCCGCAAAAGCTCAAAATAGAAATACCTTTAAATGTCTATTTCTACAGAACTAATTGATGGATGATCACAAAACTTTGTCTGTAGCATTCTTGGGTAATCTTTTATCAAGTTTGCTCACATTAGGCCCCTTTTAGGGGCTGCCAAAGCTAAAAATAGAAAAACCTTTAAACATCTCCTACTTCAGAACCAATTGATGGATGATCACCAAACTTTGTAGCATTCTTGGGTACGCTTTTATCAAGTTTGCTTATATTAATTTGATAGGCCCCTTTTAGGGGCTACTAAAGCTAAAAATAGAAAAAAACCTTCGAACATCAATTCCTACTGAAATAATTGATAGATGATCACCAAACTTTGTAGCATTCTTAGGTAGTCTTTTATCAAGTTTGCTCATATTAATTTGACAAGCCCCGTTTAAGCTAAAGCTTAAATGCCCCAGGTCATGGCATTTCTTCAAATTATTGTTTAAACATATTCTATGCTCAAGTTTAATATGAGAATATATTGACATTCCAACACTGAAAAGCAGATGTTTCTGGTGAGCGACTCAGGGCCATCATGGCCCTCTTGTTGTTTGAAATAGGCATGTCCTACACCTGAGTTTTTTTAAATAGGCATGTCCTACACCTGAGTTTTTTGAAATAGGTATGTCCTACATCTGAGTTTTTTTGAAATAGGCATGTCCTACACCTGAGTTTTCTGAAGTAGGCATGTCCTACATCTGAGTTTCTTAAGTGAGATCCTGAAAGGTCATTTTCTTTGTCTATATTGTAGGGATTTATAATAATACAGCTTTTCATTATTATCTTTACTCTTGTAGGAATGTTGCATTTGTATGTTGTTGTTTTTTTCTGCCAAAAAACTTGAAAAAAGTCAATCTTGGTCAAATCTTCTTAATACTTAGACATGTGTTAGGGTTAGATATCATTTTATAGGTTTATGGCAGAGATATATTTGCGTGTAATTTACTTGCATCATATGAGCTCTGTTAATCTGGGATACTGACATTCTGGCATGTATAGGTTTTTATTATATAATTTTTGTATAATACTGAGATGAATATCCAAGCCTATGGACCTGGCTAATGTGATTTTCACTGATTTAATTCAAAGTTCTCCCTTAATAGTGTTATTGTTTTATCTACATATTAATCTATAAATGTGCAGACAAATGTTCCACTCTACGGGAAAAATTGAACAGTAAAAATCATAATTTAAATCTATGTTTAATTAATGTAATAATTATCTCTAGTGGTTTACTGTATGTTCAGGGCTACTTCTTCAGATGTTTAACATCTAACATGCCCTTAAATCAATATTAAAACATTATTTAACACATGTTTGAAATTTCTAAAGAATTAAAAAAAATACGGATTTCTGAAGCATAATGATTGTGCCTTTAAATAATTATGCCAATAAAAAACTACATTATTATTATTATTATTATTACATTTATTATCTTTATCCCAATCAGAGCTGTGCGGACAAAGTTGTACAATATTTTATCACTAATACAGGTCCTACCTGTTAAGAGTTTATTTAAACTTTCATGTGTATAGATATTATTACTTCTCAGGTCAAAGTTCATACGGGCAAAATGTAGAATGTTGGGATAAACCTCCCTATTAAACTACACGTGATAGATTTAAGTGTACATGTATAGTTAAAAAGTGTGTGTGTGGTTCAGTTTGATTTTATAAGCTGTTTAAGTGTTTGATTTGAGATTTAGACAAAAGTAAGGATATAATATAAATTTAAAATTAACTATGTTCTTTTTAATATCATAGGTTTGGAAGAATTATTTATTTTGTTTGGTATTCAAAGTAGTTAACAAGTGATAAAGAACATTCATCATTATGGATAAAATGTGTATAATAAACCTATGCTTTTAAAAATGACATAGATCTGGTGTTAAGATAAATTGGTCTCTAAGTGCAGGTAATTCTACAGTAGAAGGTTAAATTATTTTTTATAGACAGGTTTTTCTACGTGAGATATATTTACCAAAGTCTTATTCATACATCTATTAAGTAAATATTCAAATTTATAAGAACTACTTGTTATAAATATGGATAAAAACTTATTAATTTCAGCCAAGTTCAGGTTCAAACATGAAGAGTGATGCAGTATTTGAGGGTATGAAACAGCAGTTGGCCAGCAGGAAAGACCTGGTGAAAAAAATTAAAGCTGTATTTGGTTTTGAAATCACACAAGGTGGTAAAACTGCATCTGAATGGAGTAAGTCATATACATGAATTATAGTAGAGAAATAGAAGGAAAAAAACACTTTTCCTGAATTTACATAGGAAAAAAAAAATACTCTTATAGAAAAAAAAAATAATACTCCTGAAGTGACTTTGGTTATATTGCAAGCAACCTTTTATATATAGCCATATAACCTGTCAGTCATTTTTAAATCAAATTTATAATACAGCATAATTACTTTATTTGAAAAAAAAAAAAAAAAATTTATAAAACAGCATATTTACTTTGAGAAAAACCAAAAATATTAATTACTTCATGAATTAACAGATGTGTATATAGATTGCAGAAACATGACAATTATCCAATGAAAAATGCTGTTACAAATGTGCAGTATTATAAAGAAATGAACTGTACCATTATAATTCATTTATTCAGCTGCTGATGTAAAGAATGGAGATGGGGATGTTTACAAAGGAAAACCCAAGTCAGGCAAGGCTGACTGTACAATTGTTATATCTGATGATGACTTTGTAGACCTTGTCACAGGAAAACTAAATGGAACAGACAGTAAGTCAAACCTAAATG